TTTCTGCTGTCCATCAAAAGGGAACAGCATCAATTGCGCATTCATAACGTTGCTGTTCTTGCTGCATATACACCATTCGATAGGCGTATGCTCAGTGTAAGGGCGGGGGGGCGGGCCATGTACGTTTTTTGCACTGGGGCCGGCATAACTATGCCACACGGCGTAAAGGCAACCGGTAAATTTCCGAGGAACAGCAGCGCTTGCCTTCCTTACTACTGCTGTTCTTTGCCCTAAGCATAGACGTATAGAAGCAAGCATCGTTAACAACTGGCCAGCGTGCGGGTGCCCAACACTTCGTCGGGGGGGGAAGAATTCACCGCCCCCGCTGACACACCCAGGATTAGTCGAGGGGGGTGGCTCGCTGTAAGTCCCAAGTCGTTTCGGCCCCGTGGTACCGTACCTGTGTCTGACCACCGCGCAGCAGGAAATTTAGGGATTATTTATTTTAACGCGCAGCGCTGTAAGGAATTAATTTTTTGTAACGCGCAGGGGTCTGAGCAGTTACTTTCCACTTCGCGCAGGCTTTAAAGTAGTACTGCAGTAGCCTGAAGCTTATACTAGAAAGACCGGAAAAACAGAGCAATGAACTTAAAGCTACGGCTTAAAACGGATCAGAGAGGAGGTGTAGGTATGGATGGGGCCAGGAAAAGAGCGAAACCCGGAATTTCGAGTCAGCACGCACTGGTGGCCACGCCATCTGACGCCATGGGCATTTTTTTAGTTGACGCGCAGTCCTTTAGGGAATTAATTTTTATTAACGCGCAGGCCCCGGACCAATTATTTATTATTGCGCGTTAATACACATTTTTCGAAATAATTATTTATTTTTGCGTGATGATCACTGGGAGGTACGGTACATTAAATAAGGCTATGCTTGCTGTTCAAAAGGCGACATGCGGTCGTTCGTTGCCATGGAGCGCCAAAGGAGCCGACGGCCAGCACTCTAACCGTCCGGCTGACGACCCGACTCACACACAGCCCGAATGGGCATGACCGGCGGGTGGGGTGCAGAAGGGCATTCCCATCGGGTAGAGTGCACGAAAGCATGCACGGCGGATAGGGTGCAAATGGGCATGCCCGGCGGATGCAGCCAATCCCAGCTGGGGCCGGGGAGGGCTGCAGCATACCTCGCCCAGACGGGGCGCTTTGCAGCCATGTACGCAGACACCTCACAAGCGCACGTTGTTTGCTCAGCATCCCCGTACATGCGGCACCCATGCACACAAGCAGCCATGTATGCATGTGTGGCCAACCATCGGTCCCGCCCTGGCCCTATGGACGTATGCGTATCTCTCTTGAAAACATAGTCTTCCTTACCTTGCACATTGACGGATTCAACGCCCTGGTGCCTTCTGTTCGACTCATCCCTGTACAATTCGCTGCCCTGCTTCCGAATCCACAATAAAATGTGAAATGCATGCCCAACAGATTTCGCCTTCTCACCCGACCGAAGGGAGGCTTGATGTTAGGTAACTACTGTTGTTTCACAAGGCTTATTGCTGTATGTTGCGCGATGTCCCGAAAAAGTGCATCCTCTTTAACCGAAAGGGAGATCGACAGATCGTGTTTGTTCCTACTTGCCGAAATCCACTGAAACCACGCATTCTTGCTCATTTCATAATTTATGGTCTTCCACAATATAATTCGCTATGTTCTCACTTCCCTTATGCCACCTTCATCCGGCTTATGCCTGCGTCGACGCCCTTCTGCCGGGTGGGGTCTTAAATGTCCTGCCCAAGAAAACTCATGTTACTTGAATTTGGGCGCCAATAGAGTATGTATTTAGGAAGCGAGGATGTATTTAGGAAGCGGAAGTTACACTGGAGGACATATAGGAAGCGGAAGTTACACTGGAGGACAGTAGCTGAGACATATAGGAAGCGGAAGTTACACTGGAGGACAGTAGCTGAGAATGCGAAAGTTACAGTAGCTGAGCCCGTTAGGAGGAATAGCGTCATTGTACGGCAGAGCTCATAAACATTTGGCGACACCAAATCGCCTGGCACGTGAAACGTGGGTGCGTTGGGAACGGAAGCTGATCATCGATGTTAAGGGCAAAACCGTGTCGTTGCTGTACAATACAGCTGACCAATACACCATAACTTGCCTAACAAAAGGATAACGGGCCAAGGGCTAAGTTACAGTTTCAAGGTGTCAGCTCTGTCAGCAAGGTGTTTTGGAGCGCTTCTGTCAATGACAGCGTTATTGCCATGACATGCACGCGAAACCGAACCCCGATACCCAGCTATCCCCCTACGGCTTTTCCCCAACGTACAGCTCTGCTTACACACGCTCACCTAAGCTATCTAGGCCAAGTTTGCCAGGCCACGTCAGCTAGGCCAAGTTTGGCCACCACGCGTCTCCTCCGGCCACCTAGCCTCCTGTCGCGCTTCTCTTCCCCGCAGGCGCTAGCTCACTGCACCACCTACATCACCGCTACCACTTGCCCCTACCACCCGCTCCGCCTTCCCCCTCGCCTCCGCTTCCCCAGCCCCCTCTTCCTGCCCTACTGCCTGCCCAGCATGCCCCTCATCCCCAGCTGCCACATGCCCCTCGTTCCCTGTCCCTCTCCCTGCTCCTTTCCCTCTTCCGCTGCCCTTCCTCCGCTCACGCCACCATTTGCGCAGCTCTGTAACCAGTGCCTGCGGGATATCGTATCAGCAGCAGGGTATTCACACGGCTTCAGTGCACATTCCTCTCAGCTCTATTGACGCCACAGAACACAGAACATCCACCGTCTCCCACACATCGTTGTAAACGTCTTCCTCCCCCAAGCTCCACGGTCTTCCTTTCGCCCTTTCCCCCCATCGCTACTGTCGATATACGGGCAGCGAGTAGCATGCAGGTTAACAGGCAGGCAAGAGCCAGGCTTACAGGGGGAGCACATCCCATTGCAGTCAGGAATGGGATGAAAATTATCTTTTGAGAAGTTCCGAACAGCACCGTTTCCGGGCTGTGGCCCGACCTCGCCGGCTCTGGCCTCACATCCAACGAGCTCGCACCTGAAGTTGTACTTGGCTTCAAAGGCATCCATTTGGCGCAGGTAGGCCTCGTCCTCCTCATCGTCCACACCCGCCCCGCCGTCCTCCTCCTCATCCTCGCCCACCACCTCCCGGTAGGAGGGCACGTAGTCATCGTCTCGGTCCACCCAGCCCTGCGGGGGCCAAAGACCATACCATAGGAAGCCACAAATTAGGGCAAAGCAAAGAAGGGGGGCATGACAGCACTCAGTGTTGGCCGCATCACCGGGGTGATGCTCGCCACAGCAGGGGTTAGGTCGCTACCACTGTGCCGCGCATTTGCCTCGTCTACACCTAGGGGCTGCATGGCGGAATGCTGCGGAATGCTCGTTGTAGGACTGCTGCCCTTCCATTACCTGCGTCTCCCCATGGGACAAGGCGCTTACCTTGTTCAAGATGTATTCTTTGAGGAACTTGTCGTCCGGGTGGAGCTCGCCCTCGAAGCCAAAGTAAGCCTCGATCAACTGCCATACGGACAGGGACCCAAGCAAGGGTGTGAGTAATGCTCTGCCGCATGGCAGCAGCAGCACATGCAAGCCAAACGAGGCCCAACCCCAACCTGTCAACACAGCAGGCTGACGGCGACATCCACGTAAAACAGCAGCATCGGAACCCCTCCCCCATTAGCTGCCCGTGTGCACGCGCACCTGTTGGAATTCGCCCTGGCCCTCGCCCTTCTGCCCGCCCTTCTGTCCGCCCTTCTTGCGCTTCGCCTCGGGCTCAGCCTCCTGCTCCTCGCTCTCCTCACTCTCCCCGTCACCTGACGCCTCCGCCCGGGCGCGCAGACGCCGCACCCCGCCCGGGCCCTCCTCAGCCTCCGCAACCACAGCATCCTATCGTGGGCATAATCGAGGCCGAAAGGGGCAGCCACGGTTGCGACATGACATGCAGGTGAGGGCTGCAGGCTACATGGCCTCGCCGTAATGATGGTGCGGCGTCCGAAGCAGCAAGCAGCACTCTACCAAGGGCTTCACCGCCAGTGAAGACGGTTTAACGGGGGACACCTAATCGTAAGCATGTATCCGCACAAGGGCTGGGTTGCAGCTTGCAGGGCCACGGCCGTCTGCGCGTGCGGCTCTGGGCCCTGCCCCGCCCCCTCACCTCCGCTGCCTCCAGGAAGGCCTTACGCAGGTCCTCCTGCTCCGCGTCGTACGCCTTGGGCTTCCGGGCGCCCTCCCGCTTGGCGCCGCCGCCCTGCTCCTCCTCATCGCTGCTGTCCCCGCCGGGACCGTACTCCAGAGCCTGGGCGGGCGAACACAGGCGGTACATGGGATTGGATTGGTATCGTGGTAATAGTCAGCGAAAGGCGTGTCCTGCTAAGGCTGGTTTTCAACCATGAACAGAACCGCGACTGTAGCTCAGGCTTATACCCGCAGCATCCCTAACGGGCAACCGTTTCCCCTGTCACCCCGCGTCCCTTTAGCATGTCCCACCGCTGCCACCGCCACAGCCCCAGCTGCCTCTACTCCACTCTCGCACCTGCTTGGCAATGAGGTCCTTCAGGAACACGGGCTTAGCCTTGGCGGACTTGGGCCTTTTGCTGCCGCCTCAATTGCGGCCTCCCGGGCAATCTGAGGAGTGAGGGGGATACAGTCGAGCGGTGACTCTGATACCCACCATGATTACATGAGGCCCTACCAGTTCTGCTGGGTATCAGTTACTCAAACCTCCCTTGCGAACACCCGTCCTCCAGAGCAGTCCTGTATGCAGCCGCAAGTGCACCCCTACAACCCTGGTGTACCCCCCACTCCCCCACCCCGTCCCCCCGTTGCGCAAGCCTGAAAGATGTTACCTTTCGTGCAAGTTTTTCGGCCTCCTCAGGGTACTTCGCTTGCAGGCGATGAAGCTCCTCACGCCGTTTGTTGTGCTGCAAGGGGTCGCACGGCGTTGCCGCAGCCGCCGCCGTCAGAACACAACCAACGGACAACAGGAGCAGCGCGGTATAGAGATAAGCAAGGCGCTGCCCGGGGCCTTACTTACCTCGAATCGCGTTGCGTACTCCTTATTCACGCGAATGCTAAGGTCCGTCGCGCCATCGGCTTCGGCGTCCTCGTCATCTAACAAGTTCTTCTTTCTTCTCTTGTTCTCAGACATCTTTCAAATATGAGTAGTCTTACAAAGTCGGTGGAATAGCTCTTTTGTGTAGCAAGTTAGGTCTCACTAACGCCAAGCAGACTGACAGCGAATCAGGCTTAATCTACGTATGGTAGGATTAGCCAAGTTACCGTTGGCTTGCCACAACTCTGGGCAGTGCGGACGGTCGGTTGTAGTACAATACGATAACTAAGTCAATCAGGCTCCGTGTTCCTGAACTGGAAATGGTATTTTGTGAGCAGCAGTAATTGAAAAGAACCGTAGCTGTTGTGAGCGATCTACTGCGAGCAACTACCAATACCATTCACTCTTGCGACGGACCATCTCCCGTTGTATGCACTGTGGAACCTTAGCCTGATCATTACATAGCACTATGGCCGTGGAGGGCGACGCTGCCGGGGACGCTCCGGACCAGACTCGCCCATCTTGGGACGTTGGCGTAGAGAATCCTCCAGCACCTGCCGCTAGCGCACCTGATGAAGCTGCTAGCGCGGTGGCAAGGCCTTCAGACGAGGAAATTCTTGCTCAGCAGAACCAGATACGGTGGGTCCCTCAGCACAACACCCTTCCACCTTCACTTCCCGTGGTCCCCACTGAGCACATGCTAAACCACACTGCACCACTTATTCCGTCAAGACCGTACATGGCTGTATTGGAGCTGTCCAAAGTTTGCGAGTTTACCTCCAGGTTTTGGCTAGGTACTGCCACCTGCTGGCCTTCCTTCTCCCATGCTGGAAGCAGGGGGTCCCTGCCGAGTGTATTGCACCCTACACCCACTCCCTATACCCTACACCCACTCCCTGCCGAGTGTAATGCACCCGACATTGCATCCCCGCCATTCCCCTATTGCCCTATCACCTTATCCGACAGGGCCGAACAAGCCCAAAAATCCGAGTACGTGGGGAATGAGGAGCCGATGTCGGCCCTTAAGGAAGGTCAGAGGGCTGCCAGTCATGGCCTGCTAGCGGGGCTGTTCCGGGCCAGACGCGCGGCAGCTTGCGATGCACCTCCTCCATTGTAGCCATGTTCGCCCGCGCCAAACATGCCTAGGCCACTGTCATTCTCCTACTCCTGCTCCTCCTCCCCATAGAGTACATCAACGGCAACCAGAACTTCGTGCACAAGATCTCCAAGCTGGAGTCCAGCTACGCCACCTTCCGCCGTACCCGCGGCGACGGCAACTGCTTCTTCCGCGGCTTCATCTTCGCCTACCTGGAGGGGCTACTGGCGGCACACGACCTGGCGGAGTGCAGCAGGTGCGGCGACACAGCCGGGAGGGGGAACAGCCGGGGAGGGGGGACAGCCGAGAAGGGAGGACAGTCGAGAAGGGGGGCAAGCCACGGATTAGGAATGGTTAGGATTCCTACGAACTCACTCGGCAGGATATAGATTACTGTGAACGTGTTGGGCCCGTGGACGTGGGTTGGCAGCGCACATAGCAGCATGGTGTTATTGCCTTACACGGCAGCATGGCTCAGATGGCGAGGTTGGGGCGTTACTGTACCCCAACCGTCCGTGTGATAGCGTAGCTTGGAGGAGGCACCAGGGCCTGGTTGTGGCCCACCAACGTCGATTGGTTAGGCTGGCTGATAAACCCCCAATCGTTTCCCACAGGTTCATGAGTGTGGTGCGGGAGTGGAAGGGGCGGCTGATCGAGGGCGGCATCCAGGAGCTCGTGTTCGAGGATGGTGAGATGTCTGTTGACCGGGTGGGGGGCGCCAGCAGGCACATGCGAACAGCTCAGCCGGCCACCCCACCCCATCCTTTAAGCAACAACCGCGGCACAACACACATACCGACATACGGTTACCGACATACCACTACCGACATACCTCTCTTGCCCTTGCGCCCCCTTCCCCTCTTGCCCCGCCCCCCTGCCCCACCCCTCCCCACCCCGCGCTGCAGCCATGGAGCTGCTTCTGGACCAGCTGACCGAGATCACCAAGCCGCACACCAACTACACACACCAGCAGCTGCTGGTCAACATGCGGGATGACATGGTGCGCTTTCTGAGGGGCGGGCGGAGGAGGGAGAGCATAGTAGGGGTGTGTGACAAGAAGCACACACAGCGCTTTAGCATTGAGCCAGTCCTTATGTCGACTGGGGGCCCGGGCGTCGCGTTGTAGGATAGGGGTACTGGCGGCAGGGCACCGACCCAGATGGCTTTGTTCGTCGAGGTGCCCACGCGTGAACCCCTCTTCTATCAGCGGGGTTCGGAGTCATTGGGTTCTTGTGAAGAGGGTACCGGCACACTTTACATGGGTACGGTGCCAATGCTTCGCTACCCACGTGACCTCCTTCTCCCGCTTCCCGGCCCCCTCCTCGTGCCTCTGTGCGATGGTATGTGCTGCAGGTATCCAACCTGGTTGTGATGCTGCTGCGGCTCATCACGTCGTGCGAGGTGCAGCGCCGGGAGGACTTCTTCTTCCCCTTCATCCTGGTGGGTGGGCTGACGCAAACACCCGCATGCACGCCGGGCACGAACCGGGGCGTACACGGGGCACAGAAGTCGAGGAAGAGGGCGCTGGCCTTCTTGCAGCGCAACGGGGTGGCAATTATTGCCCATGCATGTATTTAACATGGTCATGTATTTTTACATACCCGGTATATCAAGCCCGTTCTGCGAGCAAGGAAGAGACCTCACGTACGTAGCCATGACAGACGTGCCGCCGCATTTGAGTATCCACCGTATCTTTATACCCCCGCCCGTTTGTGTGCCGCGCCGCAGGGCATGTACGACGATCCCCCCGCCACGGTGGAGCTCTTCTGCCAGCGCCACGTGGAGCCCATGGGCGAGGAGAGCGACCACATCCACATTGTGGCCATCACGGAGGCACTGCAGGTAGGGGGGGCGGTGGGGAAGAAATGGCCTAACAAGCAACACGTGTACTCACCATGTGTTTTGAGCTTTGCATGGTCACCACCAAAGCGGTGCGCCGTGGTGTGGTCTCGAGGGCCCAAGCAGACACTGATGGTACACCAGTCTGAGCTGGGGTATTGCCGCCGGGCCCCAGAGACCCGTACGGCGAACCTAACACCAGTTGGCCCACATGGAGTCATCCTTGTCCCCGGCGGCGTGCGGACGAGTCCCTCCATACACCCATAAACCGATCCCTCCTCCTTCCCTCCTCCTCTCTCCCCTGCACGCGCCTCTTCCCCTTGCTGCTCCCCCCCTCCCGGCGCCGCTGCAGGTCCCCGTGCGTGTGGTGTACCTGGACAGCAGCGCGCTGCCAGCGGGCGGCGGCGGCTCGGGGCTGGACGTCACCTGCCATGACTTCGTGCCCGACTCCTGCGCGCCCGGCACCCGCCCGTGCGTGCACCTGCTATATCGACCAGGCCACTACGACATCCTGTACCCTAAGGAGCGGTAGCGCTGGTCGGGGCGTTGGTCGGGGCGTTAGGCGTTGGGAGGTTAGGTGGTGCTCAGGTGGGAGAGAGGACCGTATCAGTGGACAATGGCGCGGTGTGGTTGTGTGGTGGTGCCCGACGTTAACAGTGTACGTCTGGACGCTGTACGGCCCTTAGAATGGCGCTACGTGAACGTCGTGCTCAAGATGGCCTTGCCGCGGCGTTCAACTCGACTGCATGTACTGTTTGTTTCGTGCGTTGCGAGTATTCTTCGGGATGAGGACCGCGGGAGGCTGTGGTATGGTTCTCCTGAAGTATGGCGACAGCTGTCGTCATGTCTGTACGTCTAGAGAGCTGGTGCCAAAGAAAGGCATGCCACTACGCTGAAGCTTGCAGCGGCTTGTGGGGAGGAGGGCCCGTGTGCTCTGTGGGCGTGCTGAGTGCAAGAGGTGCTAATTGACACCATGGAAGGGGACATGAGCCATTACAGCAAGTAAGGACGAAGGGTAACTGTTGAACCCGCGACATAGCCCCTACACAGCAAGGGTGGCGCGCCCCAAGGCCTCCGAGGGCTGTAACCCACCTCCTTGCGAATCATCTTTGACGTACCGGTACAACCCATCGTGGCAATGCACGACCGCTTAATCGCAACGTCATGCAACGTCTACATGCAAGTCGACTGTCCCATGTACCTGACGTGCCCCAGTCTTACTGGCTCGCTAAGGAAAGAAACCATGTCGGGTTTGGGCATGTGATGCACGCGCACAGCTTACGAGGAGTGTGGGACCACGCTGACGGCATTCAGCCTTAAGGAGGAGATTATGATAACATCTGCCAAGATGCAGCCCTCTTACGAGCTGCAACAAGAAGTTGAGGACGCGGACTTCCTGCAGCATCGGCAAGAGGAGAAGGCGTTTCGCCGCTTCATTCTCAAGCGTCACGTAGTCACCTTCACGTCAGCTGTTTCGGCTAGGATGGTATCTGGGGTCTCTCGCAACGGGCGCGACAAGGACGCCTCTGGCATTAAGAACTTCCTGCAGAACCCAGGCAACCGCGCAAAGGTGGACAGCTTCATGCAGGCGACGAACCTGAGCGGCGATTCCAATACGTTTGCGGACGTTCTGGACGGGAACTACGATTCGCGGAATGGTGAGCGAGCCGAAGCCTTGCATCCCCTTGTTAGGACTGACAAGCTTTATTACAATGTACTTCGTGTGCGGTTCCCCGTTTCTTTATAGACGATTTGCACAACACGACGGACGCGTTCCTTGAGGAGTCCGCAGCGCAGCTGAAAAGGATGGGCGCTGTGCGATTGCTACGCGAGGAGATGCCTTGGCAGTGCGCCCTTATTGAGCACTTTGAGTACGTCAAGAATCACCTGTTTGCTTAAGAGCTTGCTTAGGCACGGGTACGTGACTGAAGGGTTGTGACTTGTGAGTTCTCAGCTCAGGTCCGTGTGTGGTTCAATTTCCTGTACGGGGCTCTGTACGGCGTGACCCTCACGCGGCCTCAGGCCTCACGCGGTACAGAGCCCCGTACAGGAAATTGAACCACACACGGACCTGAGCTGAGAACTCACAACCCTTCAGTCACGTACCCGGCTGCCGGCAGGCGAAGACGACCAGCAGCAGGCGAAAGCGACCACAGCGGCGGTGTGGGCGCAGTAAGATGTGGCGGGGTGTTGGCTGGTGCGGTTTCGAGGGAAGGTTTTGGGCGGAGGCTTGGTGCTGGGAGCTGTTGTAGAAGAGTGGGAGGCGTTCGTCGGGTGATCTTGGTGCTTATACACTCACGAGAAAACGATAGCTGCCTCCTGTGGGTGAGCGGGTTAAGTTTTGGGTAAGCAGTAGTGGCGGTAAATGTGGACGTGAAACGTGTGTGGGGGTATTGAGACTGTCCACGTGTGGGTATGGGAAGATTAACAGCGCTTATTTCAGGCGTACTGAGCCCATCCAAAGCATAGATTGGGAAGGCAGGGACTCTGCGCGCCAGATGCGTGCAGTGTAGTTTGGGCGATGATAACGTTCAGTTTAAACAGTGCTCTAGGACCGTATACCGGTAATAAGCGCCATATCCCATTGGGTGGCAGAGATGGACACAGAACTTAAGCTTGTAAACGTTTGGGAAACGTCGCTCTTCAGGCATTCCTACGTCGGGCGTACTCCTTGCGCCTGTTGAATGAGTGAACGGCCGTTAATGTAAGTTCACGTGCATAGTGCTGAGCCCTGTTTGGTTAATAGCGTTTGGGTTTGGATACCCTCGAAGTTGTCGTACAACAGGCATGCCTGTGCTTACTAATGTAGGTTGCAGCCCTGCGAGGGGATGCGATGCGTTCGACGTTGAGAACGTGGCCCAGTTTGTTGATATGGTTCTCCTGGCGTAAGGTTACAGCTGTCATTGTCTGTACGTTTGGATGGGGTGGTGTCAAAGAAAGGCAAGCCTCTACGCTTGATCTTGCAATGGCTGGAGGGGAGGAGGGACGGTGTGTTCTGTAGGTTTTATTTGTATGGAGTGCAACAGGTGCTAAGTTGTTGAACCTGCGACATAGCCCTTACACAGCAAGGATGGTGCGCCCCAGGACCTCCGAGGGCTCTGCGGGCTGTAACCCACCTCCTTGACACAGCCTGTGCACCTCCGATCATCTTTGTCGTACAAGCCGTTGTGGCAGTGCGCGACCGCTTAATCGCAACGCCATGCAACGTCGACATGCAAATCAAGCTATTTCATGTATCTGACGTGTCCCATTCTTACTGGCTCGCTAATGAAAAAAACCATGTCGGATTTGGGCATGTGATGCACGCGCACAGCTAACGAGGACTGTGGGACCACGCTGACGGCATTCAGCCCTGCCAACAGCAGCCGTTCTGCAACGACATAGGCAGGCAATAAAATGTAATAAGGCAACTGCTGTACAGCCTAGCCCTGAAACCTGCGCCCTATGTCCCGGCGACAACAGTGTACGGTGTCGTCCCTCCATAAGATGAACCTTGCCTAACAACTGGATCCAGCTACGGGAAACATGTACGGTGCAAGAAGCCTGCATTCAGTTTATCGACGTGTTCCCCTTTCGCAATCTTCGATGTCCCCATTCCAAAGCTTTACCTACGCAGCATCATGTATGGTGTCATGCACGGTCGACAGGCAACAGGGTACGCAACACACAACTACGGGGGGCACCCAACACTGCACACAAGCCGCAATTTCCGGCCTTTATCCAGCCTTTGGAATGCACCCCTCCATGCACTCCTCACGGCACTGCTGGCGCCATCTGATGGGCAATCGCCGCTGGGTCGGTCTCGTCCAGGATCTCCACCTGCGGCGGAAGCGCAACGTGGCAAATCACGTACGGCATCAGGCACCAGAAGAAGAATTGGCTTGACTCCCGAACATAAACTCCACCCCTCATCTCACAACAGAGCACACACATGTGCGGCCAGTTATTTTAACACACATGTCAGCTCCGACTTGCAGCCAGTAGTATTGCTACCGGTACTCGGTTCATCACTTGGTTCCACATCCGTACCTGCATCAACTCCTCAATCACATCTTCCAGCGTGATGATGCCCACCGGCACCAGCACCTCCGCAGCCGCCGCAGCGCTGTTCAGCCAGGTGGTGGTGGTGCGCCGCTGCTCGTTCTCCTCGCGAGTCGTCGTTCGACGGGCCTGAGGCTGCGGCGGGTACGGAAACACGAAGCCGGCGATGGTGCGCAGGAAGGACTCCTCCCCTATGGTGCCCACAGGCCCGACGGCGGTGGCGGTGGGAAAAGACGCTGGTACGGCAGGCGAGTGGGCCTGCTCGGAGGCGCCCGGGGGCATTGATGCGCCGGGGCCGAAGCCGTACAGTTGCAGGCTGCGGAGTTGCTGGATGGCGGACTTGCTCGGGTGTGCACTATGCAGTCGGGGCGGCGCGGGAGCCGGAACAGGCACTGGCACGGGCACGGGTGCCGGTGGCTGCGCCTGCACGGCCGTGTCCACAGGTCCGCTGGGAGAGGGTGTGGGTCCCACGGCGGCGGAGGAACTCGCCGCTGCTTCGCTTCCGCTGAGATGGTTGGCGGCCGGCTCCTGCTGCACCGCGGCGAACGGGGAAACGAGCCCGCTGCGGCGGGTGTTGTGGCGTTGGCTGTGGCTGTGACGGCGGCGGTGGTGGTGCTGGTGCTGGTGGTGTTGGCCGCTCGTGGTGGAGCCCCGGCTTCGCTGGGAGGTGTCAGCAGCAGCAGCAGGGCCTTCTGCGGGGCCCTCGGGGCCCTCAGGTTCAAGCGCCTCTGCTGCTGTGCGCCTCAGTTGTTCAGACGCCGCGGCTCCCATGCTGCGGATCTTCTCTTGTTCCAGTAGTCGAGCCGACGGCAGCACCCCGCTACCACTAACCCTGGCGGGAGCACCGACCAAGGGCACGGCCCGCTCGCCCTCAGCCGTGCCCTCCGCAGAGGCCACCGCCGCGGAGTGCAACATCAGCTGCTCCGACGACAGTCTCATGGAGCCCGACTGCTGCACCAATGCCACCGACGGCTGCCGCGCCTTCTCCAGCGGCGAATCCTGACCGTTGCGACCCATGGGTCGGTCCTCGCTGCCCCGCGGTGAGATGCTTTTGCGGCCCCGCATAGCCGCCATGAACCTCAACACCGACCGGATGCGGGCCTCTGCTGTGCGCCAGGCTCGTTTAGCACGCAAGGATTCCGAAAATAGGCCGCTGCCGGCGGTACTTGCACGGCCGGCGGCGCCAGCTTCAACCCCGCCGCTGACGGTTCTGCTGGTGTTGGTGCTGCTGCTGCGACTGGTGCTGCTTTCCGTGCTGCTTCCGCTCGCCGAGGTGCCGTCGGCGTGCCCGGACGTTGTGTCGCTGCCGCGGGTGCTGGTGGTGCTGCCGGGCCCTGCCAGGCTGCGCAGGAGTGCGGGGACCTCATCCTCGGGGACCGTCAGCGCTGCGATGTGACTGCGGCCAGTGCTGAAGAACTTGAGCAGGTCGAAGAGGGAGGTGTGCGCGGAGAGGTGGGGCAACACCCGCATGGGCGCCTGGCTGGCGCGTATGGGCTTTGAGGGGTCGACCTGACGCAACAGGCGGGAAGGAGGGTGTTGGCACGGAGGCGGGGTGCGGCGATATGCTGCCCTTCTGAGTGAGGTGCAACCTGAACGCTACTAACGCCATCCTATGATCCAGCTAAATGTTTACTCCTATTTACCCCTACCTGCTGCAGCACCTCCTTGGTCAGCAGGAACCCCACGAACTCGGGTCGCCCCGCAGGCCCTCGCCGCCACACCGGCACGCGGCTGAGGCCGGTCCGCAGCACGGCCGCCAGGCAGCGCCGATTCAGCACCGCATCCTCGGGCAGTGCGAACACACGCTCCAGGGGCGTCATGGCCCGGGCGGCGTCCTTGCCAGCGAGGTCCAACACGCCGCGGATGATCTGCAAACAGCGGCAAACAGAGCGAGCAACGAAGGCATTGTATACGGCGAATTAAAGCCATGCCATGACGCCAGTTGCAGCAAAGCTATGTTGCAAATGCTTAGGTCCGGAAGGTAAATATCGACATACGATGGAGCAAGCAGCGACGTCAGCATGCCTGGTTGCTTAATTCGACATGCCCGCAGAACCGTACCTTGATTTCATCCTCCATGAGACTGCCGCCCAGCCCCGCCTGCTTTGCATGCAGCGCCACCAGCGTCTTGAGCTGCCGGCGGTTGTGCAGCTTGGACTCGCCGCCCAGCATGCAGTCCAGCAGCTTGGCGATGGGCCAACTGACAGGGGCGGTGAGCAGCAGGATGACCTTCACAACCCAGCTCAGGGCGCCGCCGATGACGATGCCATGCCTGAAGCGTGACCGGCAGGGGTGGGGGCTATTGAGACACTGAGGTTGCATGCAGTGGTGTAATAAGCCGTTGGAGCATTGTGAAGTAGGCACAGGTGTTTCCATGCCTGCTTAACACGTGAAGAGCGCTCGCCTGGAGATTGAAGAAAGCCCTGACAAATTGCGCCCCGACGCACCTTGCGCAAACGGACTGCGGCAGGATCTCGCCGAATATGAGCACTGCCGTGGTGGATAGGACACTACAACAGAAAAGGTTGAAAAGGTTGGGCGGCATTAGGTGAGGCCAAGGATGCGATAGGGATGGGGCAGGGGAGCTGCTTGTACAGCAGGGGGGGCAGCTCCTGACATAAGCCGGGGGGCCCAGGGATGCATGACACCCCAAGGGCTGTGAGAGGGAGTGTGACTCACATGGCCACTGCCGGGCTGACAAGGCGGTCCAGGAAGATGGGAAGAGAGGTGTTGCAGGCCGCATTGACGAGCACCTGAAGGTGCAACACACAGGCAAGGGTGCATCTGGTGTGTATGGGGAGACGGGGCGGCAAGGCAATGCGTGGCAAGAGGCCTTTAAATGACAAATGTGCCTTTGCTACGTTTACGTTTACCGTGTTGCAGACTTACAAAGGAAACTAAAAGCCAGTGAGGATACTGCAGCAGCGGCGCCACGCGCGCCGCCCATTTCCTTTTAGTGCTGCTACCACTGCAGACAAAAGGGCACTTGCTAGTGGTTAACAAATGTTACGTTGCATTCTCGCCAAGCGATTACCTGACCTCACCTGCGTCTCACAACCTCGATTTCTATTTTATCTAGTGAAAGCAGTCCCAACGTTAAGCCGGCAACCAGGCCTGACATCAGTACAAGGCCTATGCTTATACAGCTATAGAGTGCGACTACATGACCGGGCAGCTTGCTTGCCTCAGTCATAGCTATTGCGTTGCTTAAAGCGGCTTTTAATAAGGCACCGCCCGTAAGTTTGCTGTCCTACTGTGTGAAAAGCTGCACTAATAGAGACCTTCAGCACAGAGCGTTTATCAGCTAAAAAGGGTGGGATCATAAAAGCGACGTGCGCCAGGTCGGTCGTAAGGTTGAGTCGGCACCTCGGAAAGCATTGGGCACATATAAACGCATAGCCTACTGCACCAATTTGGTATTGCACCTGGAATGTTATATGCTGGTTCAACTGTAGCGGAATGACCAATGCGTGTGCGTGCCGCACGTCCTATGGTAGAGTGCTTTTGTTACAGCTGTGACCCACGGGTCTGTCGTCACTGTGGTTTGACAGCAAAGGCCGTTCATGCCTTGTGGGTCCGCATGACACGCACAGTTTGTAAAAAGGGTGCATAATGGTTGGCGGCTTTGCTCCTGAAGCAAGCCGTCGTCTTACCAACGAGATGCTGCAGCCTTGTTATCTGGCGGTATCGTCCAAGAGCGTAGAGCTGTACGCCCACACGCCTTCTGACGCATGTCCGCAATCTTGCAAAACAAACATTTTTGTCTCGCCGCATTAACAACTGTCGCTGGTTGCTTTCAAGGGTGATCCTATCCTACTCGATGCTGCCCAAGCACCTACCCGAGGGGTCTGTGGCTTCTGCTCTCACCAGGGGTGCATGCGACTACCGTCCCAACCAATGCATTGAACTAGTTTGCAACGCTGCGGTGCGGCTGGCTGTTTGGCGCGCCGTGTATGAGACGACAAGTAAATGTAAACGGGTGTGCCGAAGAGAGAGAGGAGAGCGTTCGCACGTCGGGGAAGCAAGCCTCTCTGGAATCCCCGCCCTCTGGGGACAGTCAGACGTCTCTTGAAGCGCCACCACGCCCGTGCCAGCCGTACGGCAATGGCCGGCAACTGAGAGGGGGGCTGCCTTTTTACCCTCGCCGTCGTACCTTTCAACGAAACCAATGAGTAGCGGAGCCCCCCTAATCCCAGCTCCATCACAGCGTCAGCAAGCCAGTTTCTCACGAGCAGTCGCCGGGAGCTGAACCCGGCGTAGTACGGAGCCCATCCCACAGGGCTCCCCAAGTTATCAATGAACAATCCATAACAAGCCACACACAACGTTGATACATTAGCCCATGCATCACGTGGCCCTTCAACGACAAGTCCGCACGCGTAGATAAAAGTTTACAAGCTCAGCGTGGTACATCCCTCTTTTGCCAATTTGGGTAGCGCATTCCCTAACAAACTGCATGCACCAACCAGCCTCCCTGCACATCCAGTGTCCCGGCAGGATCCGGTCCCCGCCGCTTAGCCGTATGCCATCACTGCTAGCTTTCATGCTTTCCCGACTATGTCTGGTGTCGGCCTCATGCACGCCCCGGGGTTGTCGTTGTTGTCGGCTTCAACGGGATTTGCCTGATCGCCGCTTCACTGGTTTCAGCGGCAACGGCGGCAGCTCCTCGCCAATGAGCTCCTCCAGCTTGCGACGCAAGTACAGCTTCCTCGCCTCCGCCGTCGCCTGCTCCGCCGCCACGGGAGGGCGGTCCTCGGCTGCAAGCGCGGCCCACTCATGGAAAGGCACCACGAGTGGAGTCCAGCCGCGGAACTCTAGCGACTGCAGGCGGGCTGCTGCTGGACCCATGGGTCGGTAGGGGGCGTCCAGGGTGCAGCAGCCAGCTGCGAGGACCTCGAGGCAGATCGACAGGCCGTTGATGCTGCAGGGGACAGTGGGGTGGTAGGAGGTATCCGTACAGGGGTAAGGAGCCCTGGTGAAGGAGGAGCCCTAGACCGAGTTCATACAGCTCACGAAGCACAATGTGTTCCGACATCAGAAACTGTGCGTAGACTGGCGTCTGATGGGCACAGCGTTCCCTCCCAAGCGAACCCGGCTTACAGTGTCGTGTGCTCCAGGTGGAACAAGCCATCGACGGTAGCCGAGGCGCGCAGCTCCAAGCCCATGCCCCGCAGCGCCGCCGCCACCTCCTGCTGCAGCGCCAGTCTGGAAGACAGCAAACACGACAAAGGGGAGGCAGGTCGGGTGAGTAGTTTGGCTGTCACCCTGCATGCTACCATGCTGTGTGCCAAGCGGCCGAAATGGCGACCCATGTCCCACTGGCGACCGCGCTCTGGTTATAAGGCCCACCTGCTAAGTGCCTGGCCCGGTACTTGCGGCTGCGTTAGGTCGGGCGTAGAAGGCCGCGCCACCCCATCCGCCCAGCTGAGGTCACGTCCAGCTGCCTCCGCATGGAAAGCCACAAAGGCGGCTGGCAGGAAGTGGTCGGGTAGCTTGTGCGCCGGGGGGCGACCCCGCATGAACCGAGCCCATGCGTTCGCGGACTCCGCCTCCAGCGGGTTGACCCGACCTGCGAGCCGGGGTTCACGAAACGCCTGAGCGCAACATGTACGCCATACACACACGCCTTCCTAATCCACCCGCCCTCTCATCGATGACCTCAGGCCAAACATGCCCCAGTGCAAACTTACTGTAGCCCTGCCCCGGCCCCTGCAGCTCAAAAGACTTGATCTGTGCTCCCATCAGGCGCGCCAGCGACGACCAGCTCGCCCGATCGTAGTGCACGCGCGGCAGCTGCCGGAACAGCAACGTGTACAGCGGGCCGCTGTAGCAGTGCAGCACGCCAAACGACCACAGCAGCTTGGAGATGACGTCAGCGTCCAGCAGCGCCGCGGCGTCGGCTGCTGCAGACGCTGACGAGGTTTCAGCTGCTCCAATGCTGCTCAGGACAATGCCCGTCAGGACTCCGAATGACAGGCCGCTTGAGGTGCTGGCATGCCATTCGTCCGGCAGCGAGGGGTTGAAGCGGTCGTAGAGGCCGTAGGGACTGGTGTGCCCCCCGGGTCCCACCTGTGTAGGCCACAGTGCACTGAAGCGAGTTGGGGGACCTGCAGCCACCCCCGGCTCAAGCGATACCTGCTGCTGCTGCTCCTCTACAGAGCGGCGTGCGGCCCCACCCACTTCCTGCGCCCCCGTTCCCTTTCGCTGCTTTGCTTGCTGCTGTGCGGCCGTCGATTGGGCGGCAGAAGCGCCTGTTGCTCCTTTGGCGCCCGTCTTGGGTCGCAGCGGCAGTGGCAGCGAGCTGCTGACCCCCGCCGCCACTGCCGGGGGTGCCGGCACCAAGCCGCTCGCAACCCGCAGTGCCTCAGCAACGCGCTCCGCAACCGCCTCCATGAGGCTCGCATCCCGGTGCTGCAGGATGGCACAGGCCCAGGCCGCCTCCGCCAGCACCTGCAGACCTGCTTTGGGGGCCCCACGCTCCAGGGCAGCGCAGGCGTCAGCCAGCAGGGCCTCATCGGCCCTGCGCAGGCGGGCCATGCTAGACATGGCCAGGGCTAGCTCGGCGGCGCTGGCTGCGGGCACCTGCGCGCGCAGCTTGCTGGCAATGCTGCGCATGAGGTCCTCGTCGTCCTCCAGCTGGGGGTCCTGCTGCCGGAACCAGGCGTACGCCTGCATGCAAGAGCAGCAAGAGCAAGATGTCAGGCTATCATGCTAGTGAGCGTCACCACCCAGCCTGAAGCTGAGAGACGGCGCGGGCGTGGCGTAGGTACTTGGCATCGTTCGGTCTCCCCGCTGACCATACGGCACACGCACCTGCAAAATGGCTGTTAGCTGGCGTGGCGAGGCGGCAGGCAGCGCATCCCACACCCGCTCTGACGCCGCGGTCACGAACTGTGCGTCGTACAGCCGCAGTCGGGACAGAGCCCACAATGCATTTGCGAGTTCTAGAGGGCCTAGCTCAGATAGCCGGCCAATAAGGGACTGCACGACGGACGAGGCTAAGCTGGGGTCCTGGTGGTTTACGGTGGCATATGCCCATAGCAAGTTACTGAGCTCGGCTCCTGCGCAGGGGCAAAGCAACCAGGGTAAAGACATACTGTACTACAGCTAAACCTGCGTGAGCCCATCGTGTGTTCTCCATAGGCATTCCTAGCCCTAGTGTTGGTGCGGCAGCTCTCCGACCCATTCCCTGCTCTGAACCAAGAGAAACTGAACCAGAGAAAACCCTGCATTCAACCTACTCACCGCTCAGCTCGTCCATATGGGACTGCACCAGCCCCGACAGCGCATCAAACAGTTCCGCAGTGTAGTGCTTTGACAGGTTGGCCGCCAGCTTGGGAAACGACACGGGCTCCTTGATGGCTGCCAGCAAGTCGCGGGCGGCCTCAGCGGCTGTCATGACGCTCACCATGCCATGCAGGCTGCGAACCACATGCACACTGGAGGCCCCTGCAAGGAGTTGCTGCTGCACTGGAAAGCCGGCTGCTAGCGTGTCCCTTGGAGGGCCGCTCCTACCAGGAAGCTCTACAGCTAGCCGCGTCCTATCGCCAAGGAGGGCTGCTGCTGGTGAACTGGTGCGAGACGGGGGCAAGGGCGAGGGCACAGTTGCTGCGATTGCAGGCCGGTATGTGGCCATTTGACGATAGAGACTGCCCGGGCCGACGGAACAGGGGGCCTGTCGCGTGCGGTATGGACCAGCGCAGCGCTTGGCAGCCAAGATGGGGTTCAGCAGCTGCTGGACTGGAGGCCCCGACACGGTGCCCGCCACGTAGATCCCCTGGCATGACTGCCTAAAGTCCACGCAGTCGACAACGCAACCGTTTAGGTCCTGCATGGTCAGGTGAGGAATTCAGGCGTGCAGGCAATAGTTGTAAGCCAGCCAATGTATACCTAAACTAGGACCAGGGAGAGCGCTCTTAGCAGCTCAGGAGAATGCATGGTACACTTGCGGATTGCCTACGCACCTGTTCGTTATTCGGTAGCGTCGGCAGTGCCACCAGGGTTGAGGTGGTACGCCCAGCAAGCATCGCGCAGCCTCCTTGCAAGGCATACGTGACATTCGCCACGCCTCCGCGCCACAATGACATCGTAGACAGGCGGTTAGCTACTGTTGACTATACCGGTTCACAACTTGCCCGCTTGTGGTATTGCATGCCAGGTTGTTCTTTTGCGCTATACGCTAACTCCCAAATGCCCGACAAAAGGGAGCAACATAATAAACTGTGTTAGTACATTTCGTATCATTATAAGAAGGCTGTGGTCCCGGTTGTATGGACTGTATGAAAAAGAGCAGAGCTTGTGCTAACTTTTACAACCCTTTCTGGTGCGATTTCTTTTTGTATAACACGGGAAAACTGTGCTCGATTGGTAACTGCTCTTTGCATTAAGACGCATTAGGCTACTGCCGCTCCGTACACCGGCTTGACATTTGTGCATGACCTCAACGCTTGGCTTGCCAACAAAACGTGGAATGGCATTCTAGGGATAAATAGTGTGACATGATGGCTTAGCTGCGTGTTATTTAGGAAAATGGGTTGAGATTTTGCAACATGGGGTTCCTATTTTGCCTTGCTCTTTTGCTGCTTCCAGTCCTAGTGCTAGTTGGCTTATACTTACTGGTCACGAAAACAAATGTTATCACTGGCGGTTTGGCCTCGCTGCTTCGGAAGCTGCTGCGGCGTAATGGAGTTTGCCGGCAGGGCGACAATTGCTTTGTAGAGCCATGTCCAGGAGGTGCGTTAGATTATAATCCTCAGGTCTTGGATCAGCCTTTGGATGGAAATGTTGTTTCCTATATTGCTGCCTCGCTTTGGCTAATTGCTACCCGTTCTCCTGCTGGTATTTTATGTAGGCTTTATCCTAAGGAACGTTAACGTACCCCCTAAGCTGCTGGAGCTAAACGGTGGCTCCATTACGGTGCCTTCGGTGACTGTCAAGAGGGTTCAGCTGTCATGGCCAACATCGTCCTCACCCCTGGCCTTGAGCGTATCCGGCGTTTCGATCAAGTTGCTCCAGCGCAGGACGGCACCAAAGGTAGGCTATGGACGCTGCTTGTGATGCGTTGCTGCGCTAAGACTGCGGTTGCTTGACAACCGTTTGGGATGCTTTTGTCCCCTCGGCGTTACACCTTCTTTGTCCCTTCGCAGGTAAAGCTTGGCGGCACAACATATCAGTCCAAACACAGAAAGCTTCGTGCGCTGGATGCTCTTCTTTGGCACGGGCAGCAAAGCGGCAACGCAGCCGGCTGGCTGTCGCAGAAACGTCAGCAAGCACTGCGCTGGTTGCTCTCGCTGGCTCTGCGCAACATACGCGTCGACTTAGCCGACTTGAGCGTCCAGTATGCCCAGACCGGTGAACCAGCACCGGTGGTTTCGGATACAGGGGATGTGGCTTTGGACGCTGTCGCAGTCTCTGTCCGATCACTGACTGTCTCCTCTGTGGCGTTGACGCCAACGGGCACCGTGGCGAGCGAGGATTCCCCCTGCAGCTCTGCAACCCGGACCTCAGGCCAGGACGCTGTTAACGGTGAGTGATATGTAGTTGTAGTGTACCTGGCTAATACCACCAACTTCGCACGCCAGCGCTGCATAGCCTCAGGGTATTGAAATGGGTCAGGGAGGCGCCTGACCCAGTTTACTGTTGGGTGGTCTTGGCTTCAGTTTGGTCGTGAGCGCGACTGACACACCTCACCCATGACCAAAATTGGGTTTTTGTTGCAGGTACTCCCGCTATCTCGTCGCGTTGGGCGCTCGTCGCATGGGGGCTTAGGCGCTTGCAAAGGCGAGGCGGTTGTGGCCAGGAGCTTCAGATCCATCACGCCTCGCGGGTTGCAGTTACCGGGGTCAACGTAATCCTCATGTCTCGAGCCCCCAGGGCTCTGCAACCAAGCAGCCAGGCACCTAAAGCCCAACAATGGCACTCTCAACAACGGCATGGCAACAGGCGATTGCCCCAGCGGGCACGCGACTCCGCAGTAGCCGCCGACCGAGGCACGACAGGAGTCAAGCGCATTGTTACAGGCCCTGCGCTTGGTGGTTGTGACCCGCCTCTACCTCATCCTGAGGCGGAATGGGACTCCGTGCATACAGTTCTGAGACAATGGAGCGTAGAGGTAGAGGTGTCCCTGAACGGACCTAGGGAGCGCGGCAACTGCGTGGGTGGGTCGGGGTATCTCGGACGGCGCACGTACCAGCCGTTGGCTGTCCAAGTGCATGGCACTTTCGGCGTCCGCAGTGGCCGCGGCCGGCAGCAAGCTGCGGCCGGTATCATGTCTCCGGGAAAGCGGCAAGGGGATAGTCCTAGCAACGGTGGAGCTTCGTCTGGTGGAGCATCGCCCTGCGGTCCTAGTCGCGCAGCCAGCATGCAGGCTGGTGACCACCTCTCCCGGCGGCAGGGACAACGCCTGCAATCGGATGGCGGCCTGCCGACCCAGGACCAGCAAGCAGCTCCAGCCGCTGCTGCACATGCTGCGGCTGCTACCGGGCAGCCTGGTGGGGGCGGCAGCTCCGCGGGTGCGCCTTTCTCCTTGCACGTCAACGTTGCCCTCAAGGCTCTCCTGCCGGAGCTAACGCCGGCGGCGACAGTACAGCTCATACGCATGGCTGAGAGGTTCTCGACGTATGAGAAGTACTGCAAATACTGGATGAAGCGTCCTTCTGTCAGTGTCACGGAGTCCCCAGCGGCTTGGTGGCAGCATGCGGGTCGTGCCATCATAAACGACTGCCGGTAAGGATTTATAAGGTTAGGTCACGACATACTGGTAATGTTACTGCAGGCTAAGCCGATTGGGTTGCGCACATGCAACCTGGAGGGAGTTGAGGGCCTCTGACATGAGCACGTTTTCGGCTTAGGGCAGCCGTTTGCTAACCTTACTAACCCATCTCCCCATTGGACGTGCGATCGTTTATCTACAGGGAGCATTACCCCTCACGCAAGCTTAGCGACTTCATGGCTCGCCGCGCTGATTACATTCGTACATACAAAGCACTACGGAGCATGCAGCAGGGCTTTTTGCACCGCACACTTATGCCTTACTACAAGTCCGGACGGCTACCGCGTCAGCAACCAGTGCCGGTGTCTGGAGCGCGTGCCCAAGAGCCAGGTACGGAATCTCCAGCAGCGGCTGCAGCAGCTATGGCTTCGCCTGCGGGCGCCGAAGCTGCTGAACCCGGGGCTTCGGGAACGTCTCGCGCCGGTTGGCGGTGGTTCCGCAGTGGTGATGCGTACAGCGAGGCGACATCAGGTACCGGTACTACCGCCATGCCAGACGACACCACTGCTGCGGATGAGCCCCACCTGCAGACGGTGACGTACAAACGGTATCGGGGGCCCAAATCGGCTGCGCAGCTGGGGGCCGAACTGTCACGGCTGGAAGCTCAGCTCACGCTGGGCCAGATCATGTGCTACCGCACTTTCGTGGCCCTTTGGCACTCGGAGTACCTAGCGCGGACACCTGGCGTCAAGGAGCGTTGGGAGGCAGCCCTCAGCGTCATCACCAACTTTGTGGACGCGCTTCCCACGACGGAGGAGGTCGATGAGGACGAGGGCTTGGATGCAACCAATGCCGACAGCCGCCCAGCAGGCGATGGTAACAGTTACACAGCCTCACGGAGTTCGCCATCGGCATTCAACCTACGCATCGTATGCCCGCGCTTGGGTCTTAAGCTCGTGAACAAGCATGAGGTGGTCCCTGCTGCATCCGTGAAGCCAGGCGCTGGGCCGTCCGCCACCGGCGAGCAGTTGACGCCGCAGGATGCCAAGCGCTCTGTGGACGTCTTGCTGGTGGTTCTGGAGGGAATCCGGTTCTCGATGCCCTCCGTGCACCATATGGCCCTAGAGGTATGGAAGATTGACTTTGCATGACAGGCATTGACGGGTGAAAGGACGGGTATCCCTGTATGTCCGTCAGCGAGGAGTGTATGTCGCACCCGGTCAGCCCAAGCACCACAGCAGCATTACTTACTTTTGTCGTACTGTAACAACTGCCGCCTGTAGGCCGCCACCGTTCGGGCTTCCCTCCTGGGCAGCTCCTTCACAACACCCAAGCACGTCCTTGTTGTGCCGGCGTCGCGTGAGAGCATGGAGCTGCATGGAACGAAGCTGGACTTCTCAGGCTCCGCAGCGCCCCGTGGTCTCGCAAACAGTCAAAGCGTGAGCATGACGAAGCCAATGGCGTCAACGGGCTCCGTCTACTCGGACGCCCCCATCTCTGCATACCTCTCTCGGTTCAAAGTGAACCTGGCGCCAGTCGAAGTGGCCTTGACGCATCCGGCTTGCATCGTAGCCTCTGCGGAGTTCCTGGCCAGCATGGTTCGGTTGCGGGCGGCGACGGCGAACACGCATGCGCGTCGGTCTTCGATGTCCTTGCACTCTCTAGTCATGGACAGCTATACACGCAACCGCGTGCCGCTGCCGTCATCTATGGCGGCTTTCATGCCCAAGCTCCAGATCTGTTGCCCCATGGTACGGTACCCTCCATTCCCTCGTGAGGTTTTGCCGCTGGGGGTACACATACCGGCCTCGCCACTGTTGCCGCCCTGCTTAAGGCTATGCGTTGCTAGTCCTGTAGCTGGGCTGTGTTGGCTAACCAGTACCAGACAACCTTACATGGAGGCCTCATGCATTTGTTCCTTGCGCAGGTCACAGCCCGCGGGCTGCTGCTCCCAGACTTCACCCCCTCCATCGGAGGTGTGTCGGGCCGGCATTCCGACGCTCTAGCTGTGGCTGTCTTCACCGACATCTGCTTGTCGTCGCGCTACGTCAAGACCTGCTACACGGCGTTGCTCCTGTCCGCTTCGGGGCAGGCGCATGCAGAGCTGTATTACCAGCTTTTGCCGCGATCTGGTGTGCAGGAGAGGGCCCCCTCGGCAAGCAGCTGCTCCTCTGCGCCTGTCGGTGCTTCAGAAGCGCCCAGCAAAGGCATGATAAGCCCTCAGCAGGGGCCTTTCGGCATGGTCTGGCTTCATCCGGACGACGTGAACATCGCTTTCCCGCAGCGGGTTAATGGCCCGCTGCAGGCTTGCACGGCACCTGGCATCATGGGCAGGCGGTCTAGCGCTCGTTTGTCGCAGGACCCTAAGCAGTTTGGTGCTTCAGGCACCCTACGCGTGGTCGGCTCGATCACCAGGTGGGCAACATATGCCATTGCTGAATGGCTCGGCAAGTCAGCCATTAGGTCTGCCCCTTGCAAAGCCTGTTTGCGTACGCTACCATGCTGGAACTGTGGCCGCATGCGCACCTTGATATCGCTTATAGGCATTGTTAGGCGCTTCCCGGTGGCTAGCGGCTGCTCAAGTCGTAATGATATTGGTGTCTTCATTGGTTCCCGTTTCGCAGCGGAAGCGCGCCAGCCGATCGAGTGCTGGACAGCTACCCCTTCATTCCAGTGCTCAAGATCCGCAGCCTTTGCGCCCTCGCCATGAGTCAGGTGCCATACGAGCCAGCCGTGCCCGGAACCATGACAACGCACCAGACAGTTGGCGTGCATAGCATCATGGCGTGGTTTTCGCCCTGGCAGGTGCGACCGGCGGCTTGGGTTGAGCGTGACCGTTGTACGGGGGTATACTACCCGTGTAGGATCACATTTGCACATTCCTAAAGCCCACTCCATTGTCCTTGCAGGCCAAGCTATTGGCATCGACAATTGACCAAATCAAGGCGCACCCGGTGCTCGCCATCCTGCGAGATACCTCGCCTAGGCGCCAGGTCCCAAGTGCTGGGGTAACGCCGCAAGCCGCCGGTTCGGCCACCGGTGGTGCGGAGGCTGCCTCAAGCCTCGAGGAGCAGCAAGCCGCCGATGCGGCCGCTGCGACGAAGTCCTCTGGCGGCTCCAGCATCTCCTTGATGCTGGATGTGCCTTTGCTAACGGTCAACTGCTACGTAGAGCTGCCAGCACAGTTCAGGCACCCCGAGGACCTTCGCACTCGCATGGAGGCCATGCAGCAGTCCGGGTAGGTGCAGTTGCATACCAGTGCTAGAGTAGTAGTTGCAATAACCGGCCCCTATGGCCTGGGCTTTGTATTTGGCGCGGTGGTTTTGCTACCCGTGCCCGCACGGGTACAAATTGCCCATGCTGCTACGGTGTCTCCTGACTGTCTCTCCCTCTTGTCCTTACCATGCAGGGCACAGCTTCAGGTGCCATTCTGGGTAACGACAAGTAGCAAGTCTTGGTGCGGTCCCGGCGACTGGCCAACGATGGCTTGCGCCGACCCGGTGGTGCGGTGGGGTCTCAGCCTAACCCCGCTCTTGACAGGCAGCATCACCAACGTGCGAGCCGGTCTGCGCCTGAGCAGGAACGGCCAACTGCAGGCTGCGGTACAAACTACAGGTTGCCAGGTATCGGACCACCAAGCTCGCTTTAAGGGCCAGCTATACGACCAGGTCTGGCGGGCGAACGCGGGTCGTGCGTCTTGTGGCCCTGCTGCTCGCGGAACTGCTTTCCCACAAGACCTGCTACCTGATGGCGACGGCTTCCAGCTTCTTGGCCCTCTGGCGACACGTGCAGACGCGATGCGTACGTTTGCGCGTGACCGGCGCCGCGCGGCATTTAACCTGAGTATCCAGCTGGTCCCCAGCCGAGCGGAAAGGCGTGGGCAAGCTCAGCAGCTGTGGAGACGGCTAATTGAAGTGCGGCAACTGCACCGCGCCAGCGACTTTGCTATGTTCCTGCTCTCGACAACACACAGCACGGCGGAGCGGCTTCTGATAAATGCTCGGCTGCGCCCGTTTGACTGCTACCAGGCTTTGCGTAAATCCCAGGCCGATGAGGATGCAGCCTCAGCCTTTGCGCAGCGGGCCGCTCGGTCTAGCGTTGCCGGCAATGATACCGGCCCATTTCCAAGTGTCTTCAACGCCGTCTTTGGTCAGGATTCGAAGCTGGGAGGGCGCCTCGGTAGCACCGCGCCATTACTGCAACGCCGCACGTCCATGCATGGGCGCAGCAGAAGCGGATTTGCCGCTCTGGCGACGAGCGCAAGCCGGTTCGGGCTCCAGGCGTCGCATCACCGCAAGGCGGCATCCATGGTGCAGGCGCTTAGCTCAGTCACCAACGCTAACCTGCTAAGCATCATGGCTCTCCGGCGCAGCACGGTCGCAGCAACAGCGTCCAAGGGCGGTGGCAGCACCTCTGGAGGCCCTGCCACGCTGCGACAGGAGTTCACCAGCATGTCTCGGCTTAGCATGAGCCGCATACCAGAGGACAGCCTGGTGCCGCCTTCGAGCCTGGAGGCTGTTGCCAGCGAACGCAGCGACTTCACGAGGCAAGCGTCTGGCGCCGTGTCAGCGATTCCTGGCGGGCCGTCTTTCCGGAACAGTGTCACCTTGCGCCGTACGAGTTCCAACAACATTGAACGTACAGCTTCGCAAGAAGTCGGCTTCTGTCCAGACGCTGATACGGCTTCGGTCGTGAACCCCCCGGGCATGCCAAGTGTCTTCTCCACGGCAGGTGCAGAGAGCCAAGCTGCAGCGGTAGCAGGCGCACCTGCAGCAGGCAGTGGCCTCGGAGGCAGTCCCTGGCCGAAGCGCTTGCCGCTGGTGCTGGTGGATGATGCCCAAACCAAGCTGAGCTTCGTGCAGGCTTACCGGCATTTCGGCAGGATACTCGTTGGTAGCCATGAGTTTGCCGGTGTAGACGGGATGCCTCAGCCTGACCCATGGGTCAGCGTTATGGCGGTCCAAGCCCCGAAGCACCCGGACTATGCTCCATTGAGACAGGCACGGGTCAGCTGCCAACACGTCGCAATGTGCGCTGGTGTGCACTCCCTGGGCGCAGTAATCAACATGATGCTTCAAGCCAAACAGGTTCGTGTAGATAGCGTTGTATATTAACGCATTGAGACGATGTATAATGAACATTTAGATGCTTATACAATCGCATGCCACGGTCTCCGATGCGAGAAGTAATTTGGAAAAGATAGCGTTTTACTGTTTACGTCTTCAGCCTCACGCTTGCATAACTCCGGGGATGCATGTGTTGCTGTTGCTGACGGATTACAGGCATTGAGCAGCCCATCGGCCTCGTCGGCCTCAGCACGGGTCACACGGGACGCTCCGTCGAAGCCAGCTCGTCTGGAGGCACAGCTGTGCATCTCATCGGTCCAGCTCAAGGTAAAAACATCGATTCGGGACTGTGCATAGTTGCGCTTGTATGTCATGCTTTCTCTCAAACCTCATGCATTCTTGCTTTGCCTATGGCAGGTTGTCATGGAGGAGAAGCCGCGGCGCTTGCACCCTAGGCCGGGCCCGCTGAAACCCGGCCTTACGGAGCTGACGGCAGTCCACCTTCACGAGATTTCAGCTGTCGTCAAACCAGCGAGCGATCCGCTGCCCGTCGCTCACGGTGGCCTGACCGTTGACGTCGGCATCAGTGATGTGCAGGTGCAGGACCTCCAAGGCTGCATCGAGCACCGCAACGTGCTGGCCGCCAATGGCCTTGCCTCTGAGCCGGGCGGCGACGGCAAGGGATCGCCCAATCCATCGCAAAGTGGCGAGTCGTTGCCCAACCAGGACCCTTCCCGGTCTTGCCGAGTTGAGGTGTTCTGCGGCATTTCGTCCACGCCTGCTGTCCCGACACGGTTGGTCGTGGGTGTGCACGACCCGCGTCTCACATGGCTTCGCCGTTACAGCAACAACTTGTCGTACGCCGTGGGCGCGGTACTTAAGGCCTACCGCAGCGCCGTGGAACGCCAAGGCAAGAGTTCCTCGGCCGCAGCAGCGACTAGCGCAACAGCTCCGCCTCATGGGCATGAGCGCGCTGACCGCGCAGAAACACCGAAGTCCTCGCCGCCTGTGTTGGAGTTCAAGGTAGGTTTGTCGCCCTAGCAGGGGTTTCCTCAATGGCGTGTCCCCGTACCGGTGCTGCAATCCACGTGGTCGGTACTGGTGTTATTCTTTGCAGATCTACAACCTTGGCTTGGTGCTGCCGGGCGGTGCGGCGTCTCGCAAGCAGCCGACACGCCACTCTGTCAACAATGACGCGCTGGCGCTCAGCGTTCTGTCGCTGGCAGTCTGCCTTCCTGGCAACGTGTGCGCCCTGGGCGGCTTAGGCACCCACGCTGGTGTTTCAGCAGATCCGGCCGCTGACCAGCCTGGCGAGGACTCGAGCCTTGACGACGACCTTGCATGGATGACCTCGGAGGAGAATATCGACCGCTTGATTTGGTCAAGCCTTCGGCTTAGCGACCGGCACTTCCCCCAGTTTAACGAGCCAGTTGAGCAGGAGCGACCTGCTCCTGAGCTGGCGAAGCCGTGTTCAGGTGAGGTGTCGCAGGATAAACATGGGCTTGTATTGTTTAGCAAAACTGATGTTCATGTTTCGCGTAGGCCATGACATCCCTGCTCGGTCACCGCAAGCCGCGCTTGCATCCAGTCCTGACGCGTCGGAGCGTGGTGGCAAGTTGGCAAAGCACTTGCAAGCAGCCAAAGCGAACATCATCGACCCTCTGAAGGAGGTACGTGTACCCAAGGCCTGGTTTCACCTCGAGGTTGTCCACATGTGCTGCGCTAACCTATCATGTCGACCTGATGGAACTGAGGCCGGGTTGTGCTCTGCCGATGTTGCATTGAGGAGAAACATGCCTTGTTCTGGTCTATGGTAGTCGTGCGTTCTAACCATGCCTCTTTCCTTTGACCACAGATCTTGCAAGAAGCCCAGCAGAAGCGCAATAAGCGGCACGGGGAAGCAGGCCTGCTCATCATCGACGAGGGCCCAGCTGGAGCTCTTGCCCGCGAGTTTGTCCCCGGGTACCTGAGCATTCCTGAGGCTGATCACCGGACACTCACATCAGTTGCGGCCATGCAGCACACCACTACGACAATTACTGCCCAGCAACCGTCCGGGGGTCAGGCAGCGCGTGGGGGGATGCATGGCGTGGCGGAACAGCAGCGGCTGCAACCGGGGAATGTGCAGCAGACCGCCCAAGGTGACAGGGTACACGGCTCTTACTGCATTGTGTTTCACGGGTAATGGGTGCATTTGCTGCCATGACAGTAACGTTTGCGGGCAGTGCAGTGGTCTGGTTAGCTGTAGCCAAGCAAACGTTCTTGTCCCCTGCAATCTCAGGCCATGGCGTGCACCCGGAGGGCAGCTCATCCCCAGGCTGTTACACGCCAGCCGAGCCAAGTCCAAATCGGCCCCGCTTCAGGGGCTGTAGTCGTGCTAACCCTCCCCTTGCCCTTTTCTCCGCCCACGGTCTCGCGGCGTTCAGCTGTAAGCTTGTACCGAAGGCGCAAGCTTCAGCAACAGCGTCAGCGGAACCCGATGCCCCGGGCGGCCCCTCGGAGCCGGTTCCCTGCGATTCACCTGCTGTAAATGCTGGCGATTGTCCTGTCGGTAGCAACGGTGACTTGCTAGCCAACCCATCACTCGACGACGTTCACCGGCTGATCGACCCTGCGCTGTTGACGGGTGTTGTGTTTCACCACACGCGGCACGCTGGGTTGCAGCTGCATTTCAGCGTCCCGGAGCCGATGGTGGCAACGCTGGGGCCCACGCGCTACAGGCGCATGATATCGGTTTTGACAGGTGAGAGGGATGACCATTGGCAGATTTTAGAGGCTATGCGGCTTTTGCTTAGGCGTGCATGTGAGGGAATTATGCTCATCGTATGGGCCGCTGTTGTTTTACCTGGCAACAACGAGGAAATGCCCTTTACCGGCAACATTAACTTTCTGGACTGCAGATAATGTGGTCGAAGCGCGCAGCTGCTTTGAGGCAGGAGCGGAGTTCAACTCCAGCAATACCAACCGCAAGACCTCCTTCAGCCAAGGCATGAGTTTTGGGCCGCGTCCAGGCCAGGTGCCGTCCTTCCATCTGTCAGTCGACTGGCAGAAGCAACTCTACGTAAGTCTGGCTGCATAGTTTTTAAGACTTCTCGGCATACACGTCAACTCTTACTGCGTGCTGTTGTGATTATCCTTTTGTCAAGTATACTACTGGTGCAGACAGTGCTTTTGTTGCCCGTGGTCTCTTGACGAATCTCGTCGTTTCTCTTGGCTTGCTACTGCGCAGGCGGCGCTGGAGAGCGACCCCTCTTGGTGGAGGCCTGGCATGCAACCCGGCATGCACCCCGTGGAGCCGTGCCTAGAAGGGTGCTTCACTCGCTGCAGCTTGGGGCTCGTACTTGTACGCAACCCGAACGACATGCACCTCGCCTTCCACAGCCAACAGCTACATGTTAGTATGGGTGTACGCTATCGGTTGATTCGTATGGCTTCCCTGAAATATCACTTCGACACTTAGTAGCTTGTACCCGAACCTTAACCATGTCTTCATTGGTGAGGACGGTGGACCGGTAGGGCGACAATGGGGCCCTCGACGTACAACCTGTGAAGAGTGTCCCGTGTGTCCCTTGCCGACGCAGATCGCTGACGTCCGCGTCAGTCCGCTTGTGCAAGCAGCGGAAGGCGGCCCCAGGTACGCGAGCAGCGAAGCCACCGGCACGGTCAACAGCTACGGCTGGGGGGGCACCTACGACACCTACAGCGGCACCTCACACGATGACCGCGATGGGGGATTATATGAGGAGGAAGATGAGGCTTCTGAGGTATGGGTTGCGGGCTGGGTTGTTCACTGTGGCTCTGCTTTGGCTTCGATTTCCTTTTGCATAAGACGTTAAGCCACGTGTCCGTAGTAAGCGAGTTCCACTCTTTCGAATTGATTGCCAGGGTGGGCTCAACATGCGCGGCATGTATGGGGACAACGAGAGCATGGAGATGCCCGAGGGCGTTGACGTGCAGCCGGTAGTGGACGCCATGCAGGAAACGTTCCCTGGTAGGCAGGCCGTCGTTACGCTGATTCGTAGCAACATAGACCTACCCGCCTCTGAAGCAGCACACCTGGCGGCGGCTGCGCCTGCGCCGCGCGACAGGGCCATGGCCGTCGAGGGCGGTGAATGCCCTCCTGATGACGAGCACAACTGCGTCCGCATTTCCTTCGCCATGCTGCACGACGGGACCATGGCGAACGAGATCGAGCTCTGCCACACGCTGGCGCAGTGGCCCTACCTCACGGAGATGTCGCTTGTGTCGTCAATCATCTCCATCTTCTTGCCCAACTGGGGTCGCCCTGCAGCTGGGCCAGAAGCAGCGCTGCGACTTGCGGCAACGCCATGGTTTTACTTCAACCTAGTGCTGCGCGAGAGCCAGCTGTACGTTCCCGTCCTTGCGCCGCATCTGCGCATTCTAAAGTACGGATGGCGGGCTTCGGACGGCATGGACGTGTCGCTGTCAGCAGAGAAGCTCCAGGAACTGTTTGCCAGCATGGCAGCAGCATCTCCGTCAGTGGACCGGGGCATGGCCATGGCCGCTGGGCCGCCTCAGCGGCAAGGCTCTGTCGGTCTGGGTTTGGGTCCCATTCCGGAACGCCAACGCCAAGCCGGCCAGCGGCTGGGCTCCGTACCCCGAGGCCCACGCATGATGCAACGGGGCTCAGGTGCGGTGGCGTCGCCACTGGACCAGCCAGTGCTGTCGAGCAACTGGACCAGCCTCTCCATGCGGCGGCTAACGGAGCTGGCTGGCGATGAGGAGCCACTACGGCTGGAGGAAATGGGTGTGGTCCTGACGGTGTCCGCGTTAAGGGTTGGCCACTTTTCCGGTAAGCATTGAATGGGTACATGATACAGCATGCGTTTAGGAAGCGCGCCTACATTTCCTGCACAGTATTAGGAAGGCGCTGCCCTTGCATGGCAGTGCTACTAATTCCTGCCTGCCTGTCATGTGATGTGAAGGAGCATCAGAAGGCCTTGCAAAGCTTTTCACCAGTATACAAAGTGGGGTTCTATTGTGCCTTTAACCCGCAGGAGGCGACGGTGAGAGCATACTGAAGATAGATCTGCGTAATGCTGCGGGCTTCGTCCGGCACAGCACCGCCCAGGTGACCAACTGGCTGCTTCCTATTAAGAGCATGGCAATGGAGTACCGGTCCGCCGTGCCGCTGGTCGAAGAGTCCAAGCTGCTGCAAAAGTACATCAAGTAAGTGAGGTCCAGGGTTACTAACTTGACTGGCCATACCAGCCTCGTGCAACTAGCAATGAAGAGTCCATCTTGCTCGCATGTGCCCATGCACCAACTCCTGAGCCTGCATGCCATCATGGTGTTGTGTACACGTTCATTCGCAGGGTCGCTCGCTTAATGATATTCCAGCTGAGGACGCGCATCAAGGCGTCGCGTGGGCGGCGGTCCAGCGTTTCTGCCGCGCGGCCAGATCAAGCGCGGCCTGGTCAAGAGCAACACCAGCAGCCGTCGGAGCGGCCGCACCAGTCCCTTGGGCGCACCACAACCGGTGGCGTGTGGGGCTCGTGTGACGCTCCTGGACAGGTCGCTGCCGTTATCGGTCCTGGCGGTGAAGACATGTCCTCGGTCCGCTCCCGAAATATGCGCAGTGTCGACTCCACCAAGCTGGCCTTGGTACGTCAAGAAAGTTGCCAGGACCGGACCTGGCAGAGGGCGTTTAGCTTGCTTTGCACACTGGCTGCTTGCCTGTGGGTTCCGCTTGCATTTCTGTGTGCCAGGATAATCAAACTATTGGGCGCTGAAGGCACAAAGCACATGGCTTGAGTAACCCGTGTTTGCCCTGATTCACAGGAGCTCTTGGTCGAGCAGGCAACCGCGCGTGCTTCGGGTTTGCTGGAGCAGCACAAGCTCTCGCTGCCCACCAGCAGCACAACCCAAGTCACGCTGGAAAATTTGCTTTCACGGCACGCAGCGGTCAGCACCATCACCTTTGAGCTCGACACGGCAGTTGTCCGGGGCTCGTTTTCCAACATCCCTGTTTGGCACGCGCTCATGGACGACATGGGCCTTGCTTTGGGCCTGATCCAGGCGAACAAAGGCCTCTTCGCGCCCGCACCTGGACTTCTACAAGCTACGCGCATGCCTGCAGTTGCTAAGGCGCCTCCCGGCTTGCGGACGGGTGTCCCCGCCAGCCAAGCTGAGGCTGTGGCTTACAGCAAGGGTGAGGCAATAGGAGTTGCGTTACCAAGGTCGTCTTGCCTACATGTGTCCGTCACATCCCAACGTCTGTTATTACATTACATGGCTGCATGTTTGATGAGGAGCTTACCCCGACTTGCTCCACCGCAGCGACTTGGAATTTCCGGCCAAGCACCATGTACGTGGACGTGCACGTGAAGTCTCTGGCCTTCGTGCTCTGCGATGACAAGCCAAAGTCGTACGGAGCGCCAGATGTCCTGACGGCGGCAATGGAGAGGCTGGCCCTGCAGTACGCAACGGAGAAGAGGTGTGCCATGCGTGTCGCAGTATAACCAATTTGGTGTATCGGTTCCCTTCGGCCCCTAGCCGAGGCACCCCGTATGTTTTCTTGTTGGGCGCACGGTGGCACCAATGCATTCCGTCGTCTGCTGCCAGTCCGAACAAACGAGGGCAGCATGCCTTTAATGCGGCTGCTATTTGCCAGGAAGCACGCCATGCTTTGGACAGTAACGATGAGTTCTCGCTTACCTTGCTCATCCTCGCAGGTTTTGCGACCATGCGCCGGAGCAGTCGGGCTGCCTGTCGCTGCTGTTGTCGGCCCAGTTCCTGAACAACTCGACCGGGCGCTGGGAGCACTTGCTGGAGCCGTGGCCGGCGGAGCTGCACCTCAGTGATCCCATCAACCCCGTCTTCAAGTCAAGCCGTACCAAGTAAGATACTTTAGCCTGTCATCTGCATGTTACTCCGAAGACCACATCAGTGCTGCAGTCCGCGTGACAAGATGGTGTCAGGCCTGCGCGATGCTCATACGATCGGTGTCTTGCTGTTTCATTGCAGGTATGTCTTCGCTTCATCCAGCGAGCTGCTGAAGCTCAACTTCCACCCCTCGTGCCTGCTGACCCTTGGGGACACGCTGGCGTTCGTACGCCGCCTGTCAATGCGGCGGGAAGAAGCAGCTGCGGACAATGCACGAGGGCGCAGCGATGTAGCGACACCGGATGCCGAGAAGCCGCCCTCATCCCGCGAGCAGATGGCCCTCACAGGCTCCATCATGTCTCGAGTTCCGCAAAGGTGAATGTTATTTTAGCAGGCGACTGGCATGCAGCGTTGTCGCATGCAGCGTTAACAGCACACTCAAGTTTCGCTAAATGCTTACTGCAGGTACCTCATCCAAAACATGACGGGCATTATGATGTCCTACTGGGCGCCGTCAGCCGGCGACCACGCACACGCATTGCCCAGCGCGGTTGCCAACAAGAAGCTGTTGCCGCCGGGCTGCAGCGAGGAGCTGCAGGTGACGCCCACGGCCAAGGAGGTTAAGATAGTGGGGCCTGGCGGCGTAGTGATTACGAGACTGCAAGCCCAGGTCATTGTGCTGAAATTCGAGGGCAGCTGGATGCCTATACCAGGTGAGGCCCGCATGAGGCTCCTTTTAAGGGTGGTGGCATTAAAGCCATGCATCGACTGACATGGTTTGAAGCAAGCATGCATTGCAAGATGATCGCATGGGTGGCCGCTTAACGGCCGTGAGAATGCGCAAGCTGGGATTGACCGCAACTGGTTCCTCTCCGGCATACGCAGATGTGTGCGTCGACGTGGTAGGCAAGTACTGCTACGACCTGCACTCGCCGCATGACGACCGCCGGGCACCGGTTGTGGTGGACGTCGTGCTGGTGGGCCGTACCAAGATCCTCAAGATACACTCGGCGCTCTACATCCAGAACAGCACGCGCTTGCGGATGGGTTTCCGCCTTCACCTGCCCTCTGCTCTCCTGACGCGCCAGATTGTCCTGGGCCATGGGGACACCAGGCTGCCGGGCGAGCAAGACATTCGGCTTCGGCCCCTTCGGCCAGGCGAAGGTGCGCCTCTAAACGTCTAAAACTGGTCTCTAAACGGACACACAGGCGTGCGTGTGGCAGCCCGGTCACCTTTATCTGAAATCCTTTAGGGGCTTTCAGCTTCCATACAAGCATGTGGGTCGCATGGGCCAGAGTAGCACGTAGACCGTAATCCTCTCCTTTCACCGTTTATCGTCGTACTGCAACCGCAGGCCGCTACCTGCCGGTGCTGGCAGCGTTGGACGGGACGCTGTACTTGGAGCCCCGCAGCACGACCAAGCCGCCCTGCGTGTACATGCCTGCGGAGCACGATGTCATTCACCTCTCTCCAACAGTCAGCAAGATGCCTGGGCAGTCGGGTTTCATCGCGTGCGGACCGCCAATGGATGGCCAGAAGGGCCTCCACGGCAAGTCGCCGCTGCACTTCGCAGTGAAGGTATGTGCGCACACTACACAGCCCACCACTGTCATGTCTTCGCTGTGAAGGTATACAGAACCCTGTGGTTCGCAACGTCTCCGAAAGCGAGGGGAAATTGCTGAAAGTTCAAATCAGGGCCTGCTATGCGCATTCCTTGGATGATTTACTGGCCGGTGCCCCCCGTTAACCGCGCTACAGGTCAAGGCCAAGTCACGAGCCGAGTACTCGTACACCACGTTTCACACCATTGAGGTGCATGGTCCTGGAGAGTTCGGCAAGGCAAGCCGGCCGCTTGAGGCATCCATCAAGGTCACACCCACGGCCCAAGTCACCAACTCCCTTCCGTACCACATGGAGGGCTACTTCATCACCGTGAGCGGTCCTGGCAAAGAGCCCGAGATGGGCAGCAGCAGCCTGGATACCGAGTCCAACCGCGTAGCCGGCGCTCCCGACAACCCGCAGTCTGGTGGCGCCGCCAACAGTAGTGGCGCAATGTCCCCAACGTTGGCCAGTGACTTGCACCGGCGACTTGGGCGATTCCGACGCATGGAGGCAGCCACTGCGGGCAGTTCAGGGGAGGAGCGACAACGCGTCCTGTTGGACATGATTGAGCTTGTAGCACTCCTGAAGCCAAAAGTACGACGCATGGCTTTTGCACGTCCCTGTTTTGTTTTCTTAGGCATGCTTCTACCTACCTTCCGTGGTGGCATGAGCGATGGGGATGAGGAACACATTCGTATTTCGCAGCTGCAATCTGAAAGCGCTATTTGCAGCTGCAAGAAAAAGGCGCTAGGAGGGCTGTTTAGGGCCGTGAGGCGGCGTGTATTGGGTTAGAGGAACAGGGGCCCGTTGTTTCCTCCATGCTTTGAACCAGTGCAGCGTGGTCCAATCTGCCATGCATGCACCACATGCCTACTTTGCTGGCGAAATGTCCCTCTTTCCAACACAGGAGCGCGTTCCTGACATGGGCACATTTACGGCTAACGAGGTGAAGTGCTGCCTGCTGGCCCTTTTGCGTTTTGAACTGCGCTGGGCGGCCAAGCGCGGTGCCAAGGAGATGGAGCTGCTTATCCGCACCGACTCCGAGCCTGCCGACAAGGTATCAAGTCTCTTACGGTCATGCCTCCGGTGATCGTGGCCTAACATCCCCTTACTGCCCAATGTCTACTTCTATACCTTGCAGATCTCCTGGCATGATCTCAGTGCGTTCATCGAATGGGCCAAGCACAACGTCCGGCGTGTGAACGTCCAGCCTGGCACCACGCAGGACTTCCACGTGGACATGCACAAGCAGGGCATCCTTTGCATCAAGGTGCCGGAGCTTAAGCTCATCTCCTCAAGGTGCGGGCCTACACCCAGAGAAACTTTACTTCTCATCCCTACGTTTATATTAACAATTTTGCATGTCCCCACTGTCCCTCCTTGGAATTAAAAGGCCTGTCGAGGTCAGCTATGGTGTCGGGACGACAAGCAGCCACGAGGCAGAGCAGCTGCCTGAGCTGATGCGCCTCATACGTAACGACGGCGTCGAGTCGTTTAACGACGTGATGCGCGGTATGCAGCTGCGCAACCGCATGGAGGTGCAGAAGCCCCTGTTGCAGGTAAGCCGCTGCCCTTGAGCCGTTCAAGCTAGGGAGTCAACATCAGCGTCCGCTCTCAGGCGTGACGAACAGAGACGCACGTGCACATTCGTGGGGGGTTGCGGTTGCCGTTCAATCGTGTACGAATTGCCTTCAGTAAAGTACCTGCCGACGCAATCCCTTAACTATGCCCTGCTGTGCCAAAGGTGGTGAACCAACATGTTCGGGACACCGCCGGTGCCATTGGCAAGATCGGCACCACCGTACGCGGGGCTCTGGAGACGCTTGGAGGACCGACGCCTTTGAAGGGAGCGCCAGGGTCACCACGTGCGGAGGGCCCGGCGGCAGAGTCGGCGGCGTTTTGGTCAAGTCACCCGGAAACTTTGGTCCGTGTTGAATTGACGGTCGAGCCTGGGCCTTGGCCGGGCAGCGGCGGTGGCGCCAGCCCTCATGGCTTGGAAGCAGCACCTGGCATCGTTCCAACGGAGGTTCTCGCAGTAGCTCCTGGACCTACGTCCACCACTGCCGGTGCTGGGCCTTTAGCTGAAGCGGATGAATTGCCGGATAATGCTGCTACTGCCGCCGATGGCATGGACACCGCACCGCCAGGCTCGCCCGCATACGTGGCAATTGTCATGTCGCCATCTGGAACCAGCTCCGTTCGCGGCTCCAGCGCTGCCAGGACTACCGTAGGTGGTGCAGTGCAGCAAGTTGCTACGGATGAATCCACGGCTGCGGTCGCTGCGAAGGAGGCAAGGACCCCGTCCACTGGTCTGCTGGGCATGCTCGGGGCGTTGGCTCGCCCGACTGCTAACGCCCCATCCAGTGGACGTCATTCCGCGTTTGCTTCCGCCGTCGATGTCGCAGCAGCTGCAGCCTGCGGTGACATGGTGGCACCGTCGCCTGCAGCTGGGGCCACGGCGCCGCTCTGCACAGAAGAGGTCCAGCCTGATGCCGCCGCCCAGCACCAGTCGGATAGGGCAGCAGCCGCTCGGTCGCTTTTCTCGAAGAAGCCTATCTTGCGCCTCCTCGGCTTGGCAGGTATAGGAAAGGCAAAAGAGGCCAAGACCACCACGGCGGCGGTGTTGGCTTCCGGCGCCTTGGAACGCACGGTAGGTTCGGTTTTAGGAGGTGCCTCAGCCGGGGGCATTATTAGCAACACCAGTACGGTACTGTGTATCGCCACCAGCGGCTGAAGCTTTGTCCCAACGCTGCAGGACCTCCCTGTCGACGAGGACCTTGGACAACCAGTCCATGTTGCCGCAGCAGCAGCTAATGCCGAAACGGCGAGGCTGTTGCCTGTGGAACCCCCCGTGGTTAGCCAGGAGCCCGACTTGACGCCACCGCCCCAACCAGCAGCCGAAGAGCAGCATGTCCGCATCCGCTTCCATTACCGGCCATCAGCGGTGCCCGCAGCCCCGGCCTTCGTCTACCGCATCACAAAGCGCATCCAGACGATATTCGACAGGATGGTGCCTGGAGTCATGAGGGGTGAGTGTTGTGCGCTGCTCAGCGCATGCCGTTGTATGGGTGCGAGGCCCTGTGCGGTAGTGGCTACTGTTGTTTTCCTTCGTGCGACCTGCTAAACGGCTCTTTCGCAGATGGGCCGGATGGAGCGGACCGAGTCCACTCTGCGAGCAGCATGCGGCGCGGCGGTAGCATTATCTTCCCACGGGCGCGCCGCACGGATAGCGTCGCGCTCTCCAGCCAACGTGCTTTGCATGTGCGTCTGCAAGTAGTGCCCGCAACGGAGAATGCTCCCGAGCGCGTTCAGTTGCAGCTGGTTGCGGCTGGAGCTGTGTCGCAGCTTAGCAGATTGGTAAGATCCCCAGACGGCAGACCCTCTTCGCGCGCTATGGCGGTTTCAAGGCGCCGCATCACAATGGGTAAGTGGCCTCTGGGTTGAGACCATATCGCTTTACAAGCTGAACAACTTGAACCTGGAACAGCTTGTCCTTTGCGTACCATGTTTCGAGTAATGCATCCTGTGACGACTTGCTTTACTGGCGCATGTTCGTAGGCCCCAGCGCCTTGCCCCGGGCCTTCCTGCGCTCGAGCTTGCCAACGACGACTGGTCTGGGCTTAGGAGGCGCTCGCCCGCACGCTGGGGGTCACGCAGGTGACCTTACCGCTTCTGGTGGCAGCAGCGCAACCGCAGGGCTTCAGGGTTGCCGGTCTAGCTCAGGACAGGGGCACCAACAGCAGGTAAGCACCCGCACCTGGCCCCAGCAATATTGCAGGACCGTTAGACGCATGCAGTCACTGATACGCGTATCAGCCGATGTAAGCTCCTGTATGGTGTCTTCGATGTCGCAGACAACCAGGTTTGAGTTACTTATGACTGCGATGTTGCGCGACCCTTGCAGGGTCCGTCCTGGAGTGCAGACGGCGCATTGCCCTCGGAACCCCGGCGGTCGCCGGCCCATCGGCGTAGAGCCAACCCCGTGGAGGGCCCCTTCTCCTCTGGCCACAGCCTGTCCATGCAGGTGACTGAGGCTGTTGCACGAGCCGCGTGTAAACCACGTGAACAGCAAACACTAACCCGGGTGTTATTCGGGTTTTGCAGGAGGGGAGCGTTGGGAGTCCGAGCTGCGGTGTTGCGGGCGGCCATATGGCTGCCGCCATGGCTTCGCCCTTCCGGCCGCCCACCGTCGGCAGATACCGTGTGCCAGCTGTCACAACAACAGCGTCGTCGCCGTCGGTCCGAACGCCTCTGCCGTCTCACACCAGTGGTGCAATGCAGCAGCAGGAACCCGACTCAGCGGTATCAACCGACGCGCTTCACACCATCCTCTCATCGGAGGCCACTCCTGGCACCGTCGTGGTCCTGCGCAGCGGCTCAAACAGCTCTATCAGCATGCCCAGCATGTCGCCACCGCTGGGGTCAGCTGCGCCTGCACGCGGGCCAGCTGGCGAAAATGGAAGCGGCCAAGAGCCGTCGGCAGGTTCTGTAGCCGTTGGTACTGGCGGCGATTCCAACGTGTGCAGCCCCCTAGCTCGTGAAGCCTCGATTGGCCGGGGCTACACGGTTTGGTCCGACAATCCAGCATACCTGCGCCATAGCGGTATGTCTACCGGCTCGGTGCTTGAGCTACCAACCCGCAGGCAGCCAAGTGATTTCCAGCGCCAAGAGGAGGAGGCCTCATCCGCAGCAGCAGGGCGGCGTTTGGATTCCACGCCTGAGTGTACACCATCCGTAAAGGGCGACAAGTTGCGCGACGCAGCATATGGCAGCATGAGCATCGCTGGGGTCTCCACGCGTCGAGTTGCTGGTGTGGCGTTTGCGGCGAGCACGGAGGGCACAGGTGTTTTGAGCCACAGCAGCGGTGACGACGGCCGGCCTGCTCCCCGGACATCGGATAGGGAGTTAGCCTCCGAGGCGGCTGCAGCTTCGTCGTTCAGCCATGGTGCCAGTGGCTCTTATCGCTTTGTGCAGGGGCATGCGAGCTCAGAGGGCTCCGAGCTAAGCAGCCGCGTAAGCGGTGTCACCGCATCCGACGGGGCTAGTCATCCGTCACAGATCCTGACTGTTGGCGCCTCCAGTGCCTCTCGGTCTCACCTCTCGGGTGGCTCTAACGGTGCTTTAATGCGGCCGCCATTGCTACCCGGACAACAGAGCGCCACCGGAGCGTCGCTGGCAAGCTTTAGTGGCCGCCCGCTCGCGGTTCGTCGTCGGTCCTTAGGGCAGCCCGCCAGCCACTCGGTTCGGATTATACCAGCTAAGTCTGCTCACAGTTCATCAAGCTCCTATGGCTCCGGTAGTGGCCCCAGCGCTGGGCGAATTGAGCGTCGTATCACATGGCAAGCCGGCTCCTTTGGCGACCATCTGGCGGCGGCTGTGGGGAGCAATGCGGGCGACGGCGCAGCCACTGCTGGCCCGAACAACGAACACGGCAACGGAGGGGCTAGGCGGAGGAGAAGAACCGCGCATTCGTTCACGCGCAGCAGTGAACGTGCGCTGCCGGCCATCCGTGAGGCACTTACACCCATGACATCCGCAGATGCATCTGCTGCCATGCAGACACCGTCTGCGTCAGTAACAGCGTCGCCCGCTGTCTGCGGCCGGCGCAGGTCCCGCGTGCAGGTTCGACGCCGCACTGCTGACGACGTGCTGGCAGAGACACCCTTACGCCTACGCAACGGACGTGTTCCAGACCTTATGACCGCACCTTCCGGTGGAGCCGCGTCTATGGCTGCCGCCGAGCCGCACCAATCAGGGCTAGCCAGCAACGGTACCCGGCTCCCGAGGCGTATCAGTGAGCAGCTGGCTGCCGCGAGGTCCCTTGTGCAATTGAAGCAGCTCCAAAGCGCCTATGCGGAGCACGTCGCCCTGCAACCAACCCAGCACCTGTCCCTTAAACAACAACTGGAGGAGATGACTCGGGGCCATGGGATTGACACTCATGGACGGCTGCTCCGACAATCGTCGCTTGGGAGAGGCCGCAGGCAGGGTTCCATGCAGCCTAGCTACAAGCAGCTGGGGCCGCGGGATGGGTCGTCCCGCCGCCTAGTTGCAAACCCGCTCGAGCTGGCAAAGAGCGCCATGCAAGCAGTGCCGCGGCTCCCGAGCATAGCCCGCAACATGGGCGAGAGGATTGTGGATGGGGGCCACCATGTAAGTTACGATGCTGCAAGATACCGACCTTAGGGCTAACGGTATTCAAACTGCCGTGGATTGGCGATACGCGGTATGGTTGAAACGCAGCAGACTGGCCTTAACCTGTTAGGCAGGGCACTGCACTCCTGCTTATTGTGTTTGCACGTCGCTGGTGCATGGCTTGCTGTGCTGTTGCTCATTAATACGTGACACGATTGACCCCTTGGTGTCGATGGGTTGTCGCTAACGAGTCCTGTACCTCTGCCATACCGTTCCTGCACAGGTCCTGCAGGGCGGCACCGATGTCGTGACCAAGGTTAGCGGCGCCATCGTCCTGGGAGGACAGCAGGTGAGGGCCGCCCACCAGCATGCTGGCATGTGCCTTCCAAAACGTATTTTGCTGAAACGTATTTAGCTCCTAAGGTGGAGTATGATGTTGACATGCGTCCTCCTAACCTGCAGGTTGCGACACGGGTAGCTGACACGCTGATCGCTGGAGGCCAGGAGGTCAGAGAGATAGTGGTTGAGGGCACCGAGCTGGTCATCGCGGCCGCCAAGCCTAAGATCAAGCACAGCCTCAAAACGGTAGCCTGGCAGGTACGGCATGTACCTCTTTTGAAACAAGCACGGGTTGATGGCATCATTGTGATGACATCAATGTGTGGGGATGTGGGGGGGCACAGTACGACTGGGGATGCGGCTCTGCAACCTGTATGCCGAACTGGTACCACCATGCTTTACACCGGGCAGGTAACCGAAGCCATGCGGAAGCGCAAGCAAGGCGACAAGCCCGAGCTCGTCAAGGACGCGGAGAACAAGTCGCCGGACGCCACCAAGAAGAAGAAAATGGACCTTGCCCCCAAGGTGCTGCTGCTGAACCTGCACAACAGCCTGGCTACGAAGGAGGAAGACCACGTGTGCCGGCTGTCCCTGTACGCGCCCTTCTGGGTGGACAACCGCTCTGGCTTCGACCTAATCTTCAAGGACATGGATGCACCGGCGGTCATCGACAAGCTGCCCTTCTTACGTAAGCGAATTACGGAAGAGTTGACGTTTGAAAACAAGGTTGGGTGCTTAGTGCACTTAGCATGTGGACATGTAGACATGTTGGGGATGGAAGTAGTACAATCCGCTATCCTGGCACGTGGTCCAATAACATTGCCATGAACCCTGTTGATACCTGCAGTATGGCACCCTGTCGGTGCGCCGGGGGTGAAGACGGATGCTGTTTCCCTCGACAGCCCTATCGAGGCCGCCGGCTTTCAGCCTTATGCGAGCACGCCACGCTTGCAGTCTCACGGCACAGGGCGGCGCAAGGCTCCATTGAGTCATCCACACAAGGCTTCCCTCCTCAACGAGCAGTCCCGGACACGGTTCCGTGTTGGCGACGAGCGCTACTCGAAGACGGACTTCTGTGCGGCTTTCACGGTATCCACCACGAGCCAAAAGTACTCGGTTGACATCAAGGCCGAGAAGGTGGGCATTGGGGTAAGGGCCTTCATGGTAGGGTGCTGCATGGCGCTTGTAGCATTTCATCCGCTTGCTTCCATACTACTTGGCACATAAACGCATGCCTGAACTTCTTGCCGCTTGTTCTCATGTTCGCTTTCCAACAGCACGAGGTGCTGTTAGAAGACATGGAGGCCATGTTGTCAAGGGGGGCAACCGGATTCGCAAGTCCGTCGGGTGGAGATGGGCGTCGCGGAAGCCATCTGGACCGCTTAATCACGGGTATTGACTCACCGAGGACGCTGGTCGACCCTCCCCGCTTCCGCAAGAGCCCAAGTGCTCCCCGGGTGGGTGAGCCAGAACGGCCCACGCAACTGCTGCCGCTTCCAGGGCTTCCCCCGGCGCATATGCAGCATGACCTTGCGCCCAACACGACCACCCCGGCGTCACAGCCTGCCGCATCTAAGCGCCAGCTGCGGGTGGAACTGCCTGAGGCAGGGCAAGGGCAGGGCGTGGGGTTGTCCGCCCTGCAAGGCGTGCCTGGGCAACCTCAGGCAGCCGAGCAGCCCGCGGAAGCAGTCGTGGTGCAGTTGGCTGCTCAAGAGCCTCTTGGGGTGGTACCCAGCGGGTCGGCGGTGTGTCCCGACGACGCCACCTTGCAGCCAGCCAAGCCTGCCGACGAGGATCTTGCCGCCCTACCTGCATGTACCGAGCCGGCTTTGGAGAGGCCGCTGATAGTGCCGCCGCTTCCACTAGCGCAACACGCAGACACGGGAGCCGGAGATTGGGTGTCGGCGCCTGAGATTACGCCCGTAAAGGAGGAAGCCGTCGTTGGTAAGTCCCCTTGGGCCTCCCTTTCTCATCATGACTTTTCATCATGACAGCGGGACTGCAACCTTTGAGACGTCTTTTTACCTTAGACCGTCAGCATTTAGACGCTTTCCTGCCATGTGCAGGTGCAGGGCCTTTCCAGCTGCGTTCGCACTTTCCATTGCCAAGCCTGGCTGACATCCCGGAGCACCCTTCGCCCGATGCCGCGTCAGCCGCCGTGGCGCCGTTGTCTCCCGCCATGTCAGCCCGCACAGCCATATCCATTCCAACCTGCGGCGCTGATCGTGTCTCCAGCATCGGGACACCGTGCCTCACGCCGGTGGCGGCGGCGGCTCCTCGTGCTGGGAGGTTCAACATCAACGACATGTCAACAGCGGACGATGGCGACGTGCAGCGGAACACACGTAACACTCGTAGTGGCGAGGGGGGCAGCGCGCGCGGCAGCGGTGGGGCACACAAGGCTGGCGTGAGCAGCAACCCCGCGTATACGCTGCTAAGCCAAGTCTGTGAGCGCCAGCCGAAGACCGTGGCTATCCGCCGCATGTATCAGTTCGCGGTGGAGGTGTGGCCTGCGCCCAACAGCACCGTGTTCAGGCGGACCAAGGTAAGCGTGATTGCTGGGGACGGGTTCACTGCTGCTGCTGCACTGTCAAGGGAGCCTTTCACCTTGCTCGACATCTGCATGTCTATGCCACTGCCAACAGCCCCGCTTTACCCATCTCCATGCCGGTAGATTATCACGATCAAGAACAAGTACCTGATCCTTAACGCAACGGGCCTGACCATCGAGTACAAGCAGAAGGGCACGCCCGATCCGTTTGACATGGCCGGTCGGCAAGAGTACGGCAAGGGGCGGCGCTTTTCGGGGGTACTGGCGCACAACTGGCGCGCTGCTTGGCATTGGGACAATGCCTACGCCGAGCAGGAACTTATGATTCGTCCGGCGGGTGATGACTGGGAGTGGTCGGGTAAGCTGGGCAATGGTTTGGGCGAAGGGCAAAGCTATTGTACGCTGTGGTACGGTGTGAAAGACACACCTTGGTGCAGCTATCTTCGCATCGGTAACTTTTCCTTGCCGGTAAACCCGGCCTTGTAGGCAGTTTCAAGCTGCCGGAGAACGAGGACTACTTCGGTCTTCGCATCCGCCACCGCCACACCCGGGAGTATGTTATTATTCCGGTCAACATTACCGTGGGAGCTGCAGGCTCTGTGCTGGTCACCTTGAAGAGCAAGGAGTAAGTCAGTTGCGCTGGGGCCATTGGTCCTTAGGAAACAGCCCGCTGGCCGAATAGCGTCTTAGGCCACACGCTTCATAGTCGCCGCCTGCAGTAAAGTCTTCAAACTTCTTGTTCACAGGTCCGTGCCGCCGTACATGATTATTAACCGCTGCCGTGACGTCGTCATCCGTCTGAAGCAAGCGGAGTGGGCCGGTCGCTCGTCTACTGGTCGCTTGATTTCATCGGACACCCCTTGGGACGACTGGGACGAGATTGTGCCCAACGCCAACGCGCCCATGCCTTTCGCGTGGGACGAGCCGCGGCTGAAGCACACGGTCAGGGTGGTTGCTACCGCCCAGCGAGACGCGGCTCCCAAGAACGCTAACCCCATCGATGTCAACCTGGACGCTGTGGACGCCAACACCATCATCTACGTGCAGTCCCGCGCCATGCACCCGCACTTCCTGCCGCTGGCGGCGCGGACGGACCAGCGCGAGCGGATGAAGTACCTGTCTGAGAACGCCAAGAAGGTGCGTCAGGTCCTGAAGCATGTGTACATGTGAACATGTCCTTCAAAGTGGGACACGCATTCACTATTGTATAAGTTTCGTATCACTGTCGCCGCTTTCGTTGTTAAAAGCATTACCGGTAATCTTCGTTTCCTATGCCTGCGCAGGTGTACGTAACGGTGTACGCAGATGGTCCCACGCGCGTGCTGTGCTTCTCTGAGGACCGCACCGGGATGGCCAACATGGATGACGAGAACAGCCTCATAAACCTGTCCTACCGGCTGCAACAGGTGCGCCACGCGGCCGGCATGGCTCTCTACACATTGAGGGGGCTCCCTGAACTTGCATGCAGTGCTAGTACCGGGTAACCTCAGGGTGCCCTTCAATGGCATGGCGTGGCGGGACCTCCGGTTGGTTGCTTCACCTTCATCTGCTGTGACCGGCCTGCGCTGCTTGCCTTGCAGGTGGCCACGCGGCTCAAGGAGATTGAGCACCGGCTCGTCTTGCAGCTAGGCAACGCGCAGGAGCAAGCCCGTGGAGTATTGGCACCCGTGGGCAGCGTCAGCCAGGCGGCAGCGACCGCATCGGCGGTGCCTGCGGCATCACCAGATACGGAGCGGCACCCGGCCTCTATCTCCCACGGGAATGCCACCGGCACGGGGTCTGTGTCCACGATGTTGGGGCCCAGCTCATTTGCGGTGGGCTCAAGCACCGCGCGGCGTCCTGCGGGCAGTGCCTGGTCAGTGGTGCGGGGAGCCCTCCTGGGGTCCACCGGTGGTGTCATGACTCCACCGTCGCTGCGCCAAGGCCTGCCAGCTTCCCTCACGGGCTTGGGCGGTGCTAACATCCAGCGGAATGCGTCCATCAGCCGGAATGCCAGCACCGGGACGTGCGCTCCCGCGCACGGTGCAAGCCGGATGCAGTCCCTCCAAAGTGCCCTTCCTGGCCGGCCCCACCACACCCGCAGCATGTCCGGTCAGGGCCACGGGGTGAACCAGACCCCGTCCCTGCCACCTGGCCCTGCCGTCTCGGGCCTGCCGCAGCTACTTGCGGCGGCACCCGTTGGTGCGGCAGGAGGCACCCTGTCGCAGCTGCTGGAGCAGCTGCCCGCGTACGGGAATGACGTGGACGTGCCCTACGGTGGCGACCTCGCCGTGGTCCTGCGCTACGTGGAGGGCCTGACGACGGAATTCAGGAGCAACGAGAAGCTGCTGGCGGTGGAGGCCAAGGTACGTGGCGGCGCTGCGTACCGTGCGTCATTGTTGTCACGGCGACGCATCAGTCGAGTTACCTGTTTGTGAAGTTATGCAGTGCCGCACAACGCTGCACTACACTCTTGACCTGCGTGCTGTTGCTGTGTTGCTTCGCAGATGGTGGTCCACTCCAGCGACCCAAGCTTGAAGGACAGGCAGGATCACGTGCAGGCCACCGCAAGTTGGATCCAGATTGCCGATCCTTATGCTGGTGGGGGCTGGCTGGGTGGGGCAGCTGGAAGCACCGGAGGAGGCGCCGCAAGCCGCGTTGACTTGCGCGCGTACGAGGAGACCTTCCGCGACATCCCCGCCTCAGCAGAGTTGCAGATTGACTTCTCCATCGCAAAGGGCACGTACCAAACGCACGTTGGCGGCACCTTTGGCTCGCAGGCGCATGCCCACTACACAGCGATGCCCCTGCAGGGAACTACCAGCGGTAGCCATGCTGCTGCAGGCATGACCCCTAGGCCAGCATCTACGAGCACGGGCGCACAGGTGGCCATCAGCAGTGGGCAGTTTGCGGGATGTGTGCGGGTGCCACTGCTGCTGACCTTGGGTCGCGAGAAGCACCAGGAGTGGCGGCTGCCGCTGGAACGCAAGTCAGGCTCTCAGCGCATCCGTGGCTATGTGGTGGTGTCCTTTGAGTGGAGCTTCACCAACGAGGGCTTGCTCATCCGTGAGGTGGCAGCACTCGAGCGCATCATGGCGGAGAAGATCGAGCTGCTGGCGCTGCTCAACCCGCTGCCAGCTACAGCCACCACCGCCTTCGTCCGCCCACCCGGTAGCAGCGGCAGCAGCAGCCCCGCTGAGGCCGCCGTTGCCGCTAACGGCAGCAGCGGCAGCGTCGCCAGCATCACGGAGGAAGCCGGCGGCTTTGGTGGTGAGGGCAGGTCGCTGAATCTTGGCGCCGAGGGTGCCACCACGGCACTACCCCGTGCGCTGCCTGCCAAGCGGACGGCCAAGGCCATGTCGGAGTCGTACTACGTGAACCTGGAGGTGTCGGTGCTGGAGGTGACGGGGCTGCTGCCGCGGGAGGGTGTGCGCGCCAACATCGCAGCATCACTGCATGGGCGGCAGCAGGCTGGCATGGTTGCGACTGCTATGCTGCCCCGTGCGGTCGTGTCCATGACGTGTGCTGGCGAGAAGCGGACAGCGCCGGCGGGTGTGAACTCGGTGCACCCGCGCTTCCCCAAGAACACAAACACGTTCCAAAACGTGCCGCTGGGCTCAAAGGTGCACATGCAGGTAGGTAAATGCTGCGTCCAGGCGTGGTGGGATTCGGCAGCACGAGGGGGTTATGCGACAGGGGCACACTGATAAGCTTCCCAGAGGATGTATCTAAGAACCTTGTCTCCCACCTGCAGCTAAAAAGTAGTTCCCGTATTGTTGGCGCTGCAGGTGTTGGACCAAGTGAGCAGCTCCTACACGCGGCTCCTTGCTGAAGCCGAGATGCACGTCTCCGACATCCCCGGCACAGACCCGCTGTATGCGTGGCTCTCGCTGCCGCGCCGCAAGCGCAACCGGTCGCAGCGCTCGCTGGCGCTGCTGGCGACCATGGAGGAGGAGGGGGAAGCCGAGGTGCAGGTGCTGGTGCGGATCAAGATCCACAAGCCGCAGGTGCGTGTTGAGGTGCACGTGGTGTTGTGACGTCGGTCTTTAAACCGCAACTGCACCTACGTACGTAAAGCAATGTATACCGTTTGCAAAGTCAGCTTAAAAGCCGACTCTCTCCAGTGCTCATCGCCCTCTCCCCGGCCGTGGCTCCTTCCTTGTATAGGTGCATGGCGTGCTGGCTGCGGTGACCTTGGATATGGCGGGTGTGGGGCTGTGCGCCAAGACCAACTTGGAGGAGCTGTTCAACTTCACCATCCAGAAGGTACGGCCGGGCATGCGTCATGCCGGTCACACGGAGGCCCCCGGTGGAGTGACGAATGTCGCATTGAAGGGGATTCACAGGTCTACGCCGCTTGTCTGCCTTGAAGGGAGAGTACATGCTTTGTCGGCTGTCACATGGCACATGCCATCAGTCCTTTACCAAAGCACGATGTCGTTTCTTCAGGTTGTCACATTTTTCACGCGTCCCACATACCATGCAGGTGCGCGCATCTCTTGTGCAGACGCGCACGGATCTGCAGGTTACGTCTGCCGTACATGCAATCCAGCTGGACAACCAGATGCTCGAGGCCAAGAATCCGGTGGTCCTGGCGCCAGCTGACGGCTCACAGTCGAGCAGGTGGGTGAGCAGCTCTGATGGCAGCTCGTGTGCTGCGGCCTCTTGGCACCACACCTGCAGCTATGGTAGGGTTGTGCCTAAAAGACGTGTTAACACCTACACCCTCCTTTACCCCGCAGTGTAGCACACGCCCGCCGGCGGCACAAGGCTCGTCTTGCTCGCCGCGCCGAGGGCCCCAACCCCATCCTGCGCTTGGGGCACCAGGACCCCTCCGTGCAAGACCCGCTCATCACCTTCCAGGTGGGCACCATGTACCGTTGGGAAGCTAACGCGATAACAATTTCGGGTATAGCTTGTGTTCGACCTTTCTTACCGCGCCTTGCCTTGGCTACTTTCTGTCGCCTCCGCAGATTACGTACAACCAGGCAAGCAGCAACCAGGCAAACGACGTGAACGCCTATGGCTCGCATGACAACGTGGGCATTCTGGCGTTCAAGAAGGTGGTGCTGGAGCTGGGGCCGCTGGACTTCTCCGCTGACCAGGTGGGTGGTGGCATGCAGCTGTACGGCGAGTAGGGTTGACCGCCTAAGCGAACATGTCTATTCCACTACACTCTTGCAAGTGGGCTGGCATTTGCTATGTGTGAGTTGTCACTGACCAGATAGTTTTGCCGCCTCAATGTGATGCAGGAGTTCATCGAGGGGGTCATTGCCTACCTGCATGCCATGCCCCTGGCGGACTTGTACCAGAACGAGGCTTGGCAGAAGCAAATCGACGCGATGCAGGTACGTGTGCATGGTTGAACGACGGCCGGACTGAGGCCAGCACCCACAAGCGCATCGTGCCTGCATGGGCACATGCATGTGGTAGGCGTTTCCACTGCTCAGCAGTTCATTGGTCATGCACTCGTGCTCCGTCCTCACCCCCGTCCTTGTCCAACAGGGTGGCGGTACGGCAGGACATGCCGAGGAGGCGGTGCACGTTTCGGGGCAACGTGACAAGCCGCAGGAGGACGCGCTTGTGTGGCTCCTGAAGAAGGAGGCCTCGGAGCTGGAACTGTTGCGTGGCCAGAGCTCCATGTGGTTCTACCTGGAGGTGTGCAGTGGGGGCGGTGTGATGCTGCTTGCGTGGGCCTTGAGAGCTGTGCTGCTGTACTTGTGGACTGTGCTTGCCGCGTCAGGCTTCAAACGTTAGCACCGGTATTGCGTTTTCAATTTGGTTCCCCTTTCAATGAAATCTGGAGAGGCATGCAAGGGTTTTGCAGGACACAGGCATACCGAAAGGGCTTTGCTTGACGACAGCCTCTCTCTCTATCTCTCCCCTTCCATGAGCAGGAGTTCTACCTCTCGGACATATTCATTAACGTGACGCTGGCGCTGTCAAGCAGCTTTAACGCGGGAGTTGGCGGCGCGCCCTCCACCACATCCGCAGCCGGCTCGGTAAGGCGCTGCTTTGCCACCCCAGCTGGTATGGTATACGGCATTCACATCGGTGCAGCGTAGCCTCTGCGTGTCGCTCTGCACACTCCGCTCTAACATCCACGGTGCATGTCTATCGGATATATGACCTTGCCCTGGTTGTTTTGCCACTCCAGGAGAGCGAGCGGCAGCGCACGATGCTTCGCGGCTTCCTGTCGCGCGTGTCGGGCAACAATGGCTTCCAGCTCATCAACGTCACCAACGCGCCCATCCAGCTGGAGTACGTGTCCTTCCAGAACCGCCTGTACAACCGCGTCTCGCTGGTCAACACGCTGTGGCGCCACTACTCGTGGATTGCCATAGCGCAAGCACGCAAGGTGCTGGGAGGTGCAGGTCCCGCCATCGCCGCCATCCCCGCCTCACTGCTCTGGGCAAGCTTGGCGCTGGTGGATTTGGGCCAGGATGTGGCAGCGAAGCGCGTCAGGCCGCACCAGGTGCCCATGCGCATCGGCTACGTGCTCTTCACGCTTTCGGGCCAGGTACGTGTAGGTGCGATTGCCCCTGGGCTGGCGACGGAAGGTGGTGTGGCCAGCATCTACCTCGGGCCCCATGGCCGTCCGCAAGGCCAATCTTTGCCAGCTTTTGTGTCGCTGCTGCACTGTCCGGCATGTCACCTTGATGCCCTGTGAGTACCGGCACCATCTCTACATGCATTTTTTCCCCGCCACTGCGCTTGCAACTCCAGGTGGTGGGCGTGCTCAGCCGCACCATGTGCGCCGTGATGGGCGTGCTGCCGCCTCGCTTCTCCTCCGACAGCATGACCCTCACCGACTCCGAGGCTGCGAGGCGCTTCGCCGTGAAGCCGCAGACGGTCATGGATGCGCTGTACCTGGGGCAGCGTGACGTGGTGCTGGGCGCCCTGTCGGGGGCGTTTGGCTTCGTGCATGATACCGCGGCAGGTGCGTGAAACGCAAGGGAGCAGTCATCGGCTGCTAGGCTCCTTGATCGCCCTACGTCAGGCTGAAGGGCTGTACGAAGGCAGATATGCTTGCATGCTGTTTCGCTGGATATCGTTCAGTTGCATGCGTGCTGACATATCGCGCCTGACTGTCCGCAGGTTTGCGCTGGCCCAATGGGCTGGGCGCGGTGGGCCTGCCGGTGGGTCTGGCGAAGGCCAGCCTGGGTGTGGCCATGCGGCCCGCCGCGGGCACCGTGGAGGCCTTCAGCAAGGTGCTGCAGGGGGTGGGCCTGCTGTGCCTGGGCAAGCGGGGCATCCAGGGCAAGTTGGCCCGCAGGTAAGCGTGTGGGGGTGCGAGAGGGTGAGAGACATCGCTTGCAGTGAGCAAAGATGTATACATCCTATTCGAGGAATTTTGAGCATTCACGGCCCGTCATACATGTGCGCTGTTATGAGTCTCAGCTTATGGTAACCAAACCCTCTCCTCTCGCCCCACAGGGTGCAGGCGCCAGGTCTGGCCATCACGGATGTGGTGCAGGCGGCCCGGGCCAACGCGGTCCAGGAGGCCTACCAGGCATCGTTGATTGCCGCATGGCAGGTATGTTACCGTAGTGCCATTGTCTGGAGAAAGAGGGTCCTTTGCTCCTTTCAGTATGTTGTATCTGCCTGCTGCATGCTTCCAAGCATCGTCTCATTGTGTTTCCAACCTTCCAACCTGCAGAATGCACTTCCCAACATTTCTTCGTCTCTGGCGGGTGATGAAGTGGTGGACGTGGTTGCGGCGCGCCCCACCCGCGTGGTGCTGCTGACCAGCCGCCACCTCGCCTACATCGTCGCAAAGCGACATTCCTCCTCATCCTCATTCTCGTCTACGGCTGCTTCCAGCGGACACGGCGGCGGTGGCGCCTTCACCGTGTCGTACCGCGTCAAGTGGATCATCCGCAACGACCACATCGACAACATCCGTGGTCTTGAGCGCAACTACGCGGTCAGTGTGGAGTACCACAAGCCCGTCAACCTGGGCCGCATGTCTCTGAAGCTGCCGCTGCGGAAGGGCATGCGGACCTCCACCGCGGAGGGGCACAAGAACCTCATCTTCCGCCTCAACCGCCACATCGGACACGCCACCTCCGGTGCCTCCCGCGACTTTGGCAGCTTGGCGGCGGCCGCGTCAGGCGGCGGCGCTGCCTCTGCTGGCGTGGACGTTCAGGAGCTGCGCATCACGATGCCGCATGCAGGCCATGCCAGCTCCGCCGGTGTGGGCGGCGGTGTGGCGGGTTCGCGGGGTGTACCGCTGGGGATGGTGTCCAGCGGTAGCTTGGGTGGTGGTGCTGGGGCTTGCGTGGACAGCGCCCCTGGGAGTGCGGAGGCGCTCCACATGGCTGCGACCTCGCGCCCGGGCAGGACGCAGGCCATGAACTCCAGTTAGTGGGCATGGCATGGGGGTCGGCTAGGTGATAGCTCGTACAGGTGCCTGCTACAAGTGTCAGCAGTAGGTGTACGCGCTCGTACATGTGGTAGCGGTACATATACCCTAGGTGACATAGCTAGTATGTTGCGTTCCATAGACTACCCTGCTCGTCGTCGTCGCCACCGTCGTCGGGATGGGCCTTTAGCACTACAGTAGGCACGCTTAGGATAGGACTTACAAGTGATATGTTGCATTCGCATGCAATGCGTCTGATGTTTCCACATTGTGTACTGCTTGAGAAATTTTGCCTTGGACGACCAAACCCTCTTCAGTATATGTGACGCTTCACGTTCGTTGACACCGAAGTACAAGGTATCGGGGGAATGGGAGTTATGTTTTCTTGAGTGGAGCTGCCTTGGGGCTCGTCATAGCCCACTCCGCTGCAGCATCAGCTTCGACCGACGATGTGCTGCGCCTGTAGATGCACTACAGATCATAACGAATGTTCGGATTGGTTGCAATGAATTTACCGTGACTACATGTGGACATTGGTTCCCCGAGGAGGCGGATCGCAACACATCCATACCTTTATTCATGGGGCTGATGGCCCCGGCGCAGGCTAAGCGTTGCATGTCTTGTCTTGTCGGAATACCGTAAACCCCATTTCTTGTCATATGCATATATTTATGTTCATGGGTGTCTTGGAGACGAGCGGTGCAACTGGTCTCGCATCATGTAGCCATTAGCCAAGGTTGGCCAGGACTGTGCTCTCCACAATGTAATGTTGGGAGTGTGACTCTTACAGTGTACAAGCCCCGCGGACTGCTGCCCCACGGGTCAGTTTAAGCAACACCTGCATGTGCCTCCAATTGAGCAGGTCCCGCTTAAGGAAGTTAGGCAAAGAAAGGCAGAGCCCATTCTTAAATCAGGGATTGCAACTCAACATGCAGCGGCAACGCATCAGCAATCCCTCCTGAGCAGCTGGCTTTACCAATCACCAACAGTTCTAACCAACAGCATCACCGTCTTCGTCAAGGTCACTCAGCTGAGTCTCCGGCACATGATAAATTTGACTGCTCCTCCCCACCCACTTGTCGCACTCATCAGCTCCCAGACGATAGCCGCCGCATCCGCTTGCTTGCACCTCCAAAGCCCCGGACGCCCCCGCTTGCGCCCTTGCCGCACCCGAGTCCGCCGGATCCGGCGCCCCTACTGCTTGCCAGGCTTGTCTGCTAGCTGGAGCAGCCAGGATGCCCCTCCAAGTCAGACCGCAGGGTGGGGTGACGACGGGCTCCCTTGGCGGGGCGGCAGCAGCAGGGTTGGTGCTGTCGACCTGCATGTTAAAGGCCACATGTTTGCCATCCCATCTACCCATGGTCAGGAGTCACAAAGGCATCTACCGGTAATGCAGGCTTACCTCCATGTAAGCACCGCTTTGTCGCAGGTCTGGTCCGCGCGTGGGTTGCCCAGCCGGGGCACGCAGAACGCCCGCGTCTCCCCTGCCTGCTTCCCTTGCCGCCCCGCCTTCGGCCCCAGCCCCCGCCGTAGCCTGGTCCTGGCCCTGCATGCCATCCTTGGCTAGCTGCAGTACGTGGCCACCACCGCTACCTGGGGCATGCAATCCTTGCAACCCACTATGGGGCCGCCTAAATTGCGATGCGGCGGAAGCGACCACCGCCGCATCCTCCACAACTGCCGCGCTATCCGCCGGTGCAAGCGCATCCCCTGCTGAAGCAGCCAGCAGCGCACCCAGAGTGCCTGCCCCCCTGCCGTGGGCTGGCGGCGTTAACGATGCGCCCCTGTGTGCGGCACACACACCCGCAGCAGCTCCTCCGCCAGCAGCCACCTGTGTCTGCTGCGATGCCCCGGCACCCCCACCCCGAGCATCCGGAGCAACACCAGCCGGCTGCGAGGCCCGCCGGTCGCCTCCTGCCGCAACCGTCGTCGGCGTGCCCGCAGCCACTGTCGGCGCCGCCGCGCGCTGAGCTGCGAGCCTCTCCCGCAGCTGCGCCGAGTAGGTGTTGCGCGGCTCCACCACGAGCCCCTGCGCCCGAGTGCTGCTGCTGCTGCTGCTGCCGCTGTCCTGCAGCAGCAGCCGGGCCCGCAGCGGCCAGCTCCGACCCGCGCCGGCAGCTGCATCCGCACTGCCCGGGGTGCTGGCGGCGGTGTTGGCGGCCCCTGCCCAGTCTACGAATACGGCGCCGTACACACCCACGAGGGTCCGCCGGGAAAGGTCGGCCAGGAGGGCCTTACGCAGGTCCGGAGAACTGCGGAGGGCAATGGGTGTGAGCGGCATGGGGCGGCACTAGGTTAGGGCAATCACAGGTCGCTTGCTGCAGCGCATGACTTGTAGCAGCGTGGGAAAGTGATGGAAGTAATCATCGGAGGACGGCCAATCACTTACCCAATCACGTACAATATTACAGCTCTAGCCATGTTCACGGAGGGGTCCCGCAACGTGATGTGCAGCACGGTGGTGCCCCGGGCGGCCTCCACCTGCTTCGCCTCCACCACCTCTCCCACCAGCGGAGGCAGCTCCAGCGGCAGCGCCTGAGAACCCGCCCCAGCCGCTGCCCCGCCGTCCCGCGCTTGCCGCCTGCCTCCGTCTCCGCCTGCTGCAGTACACGCCGTCTGCGACTGCGCAGCAGCATCAGCAGCTGCCTGCTGCTGCTGTTGTGACAAGCGGTTGGCATGCCAGGCGGGTAGTTCCCGGAAGGGGATGCAGCCTGAGAGCCGAGCGCGGTGGTCGTCCAGCCGGGGCAGCCAGCCGGTGCTCACGTAGTGCGCTTTGGGCCGGTTGCGAGCGCTGCCGACACCGCCCGGAGCAGCCGCACGTGCCGCACCACCACCGCTGCCACGAGCTGCCGCATCTCCGACCCCCTCCTGGGTTGACGGCGGGGAGGTGGCGCCAGCCGGCGGGCGCCGCGGAGCCCTTCCGGGCAGCTCGTCGCTAACCTCCACCGCACCACTGCCGGTGCGGGTGCCAGCCGCAGGGCTTGCGCCCAGCGGTTGCTGAGCCCGGGCGGCTGCGGGCGGCTGCTGGCGGAGCTGTGTGGGGCGCTGGGAGGTGCGTGAGGGAGCCGGCGCATCACCCCCGGCGGATGCAGCAGCACCCGCCGCCCCAGCCGCGCAGCCTGCTGCTGCTGGCGGCAGCGGGGAAGTTCGTGGGTGCTGCTGCTGGGGTTGCTGTAGAGGCTGACCCCGTGGTTGCTGCTGCGGCGGGGGGAGTGAGCGCTCGCGCACTGGCTGCCGTCCCTCCACTGCAGGCGGCGTCAGGCCCAACCTGCGTTGCCCTTCACGCACCAGCCGTTGCAAGGCGGCCTCCTGACCAGCCGTCATGCTCACCCCACACGCCGACCTCCTGGCGACCAGCCGCAAGATGCACTCCAGCACGGGTCGAGCCCACGTTAGACCTGCAGACCCATGGGTCAGAACCAGGAGTGGTTGCGACGGCCTGGAAACTCTTTCATACCGTAATAATAGCTGGCGGCAAAGCAAGCGGTATTCATCCAGCTAAGCTTCCGCGCAATACTCAACCCTCAACCGCCGCTTCTCACCCTCCGCGCCGCATCCCTCCACAAGCCGAGCAATGCTTCCAAGCGCAGCCCCCGACAACTTCACAGCGCCGTCCGCGCCATCCGCCACCGCCGCCGCAGCCGCCAGCTTCTTCACATCCGCCCCACACGCCTGCCGTACACGTGCGGGTCGCTCCGCCTCCGCTAGCGCTGGCGGAATGCCAAAGCTCGACGCCAGACGCGCCCTGACCCTCTGCGAGTGCTCCTCAGGTGGTGGCCGCGCTGTCTGCAGCAGCTCCCGCTGCAGGGAGGGCTGCAGCGGCAGCAGAGCACACTCCAGAGAGGTCCGCAGCAGCAGCCCCGCTGCGAAGCCGGCGGCGGCTCGCAGCTGGTCCCTGGGCGCGGGCTCCATGCGCGATAGCGGACTAGACCTGCGCAAGAGGAAGGGAACCAGGGATGTCGGGAAGAGGAGGGGGAAGCGTCAGCATGACCTGCTATAGAAAGGAAGGCCTCCGCCCTGCCGCCTGCGCTTTTCCAGGCCTGGCAGGCTTGCAAACACATGCAGTTCGGACCCGATCTGGACTCCCAATCCCAGCAACATGGCACCGCCCCCCCCCAACGCAGCGCGCTCACTCTATCCTCACGGAGCCCCAAGCCGTCCGCGCCGCCTCCTCCCTTGCCGCCAGCAGCCCCCAGCGAGCCGCCGCCGCCAGCACCACATCAGCGGTGTGCATCAGCTCACGCAGCAGCGCTAGGGGCGGAGGGTGCTGCTGCTGCTGCTGCGGGGGCCGAGAAGGTGGGCATTGGGGTAAGGGCCTTCATGGTAGGGTGCTGCATGGCGCTTGTAGCATTTCATCCGCTTGCTTCCATACTACTTGGCACATAAACGCATGCCTGAACTTCTTGCCGCTTGTTCTCATGTTCGCTTTCCAACAGCACGAGGTGCTGTTAGAAGACATGGAGGCCATGTTGTCAAGGGGGGCAACCGGATTCGCAAGTCCGTCGGGTGGAGATGGGCGTCGCGGAAGCCATCTGGACCGCTTAATCACGGGTATTGACTCACCGAGGACGCTGGTCGACCCTCCCCGCTTCCGCAAGAGCCCAAGTGCTCCCCGGGTGGGTGAGCCAGAACGGCCCACGCAACTGCTGCCGCTTCCAGGGCTTCCCCCGGCGCATATGCAGCATGACCTTGCGCCCAACACGACCACCCCGGCGTCACAGCCTGCCGCATCTAAGCGCCAGCTGCGGGTGGAACTGCCTGAGGCAGGGCAAGGGCAGGGCGTGGGGTTGTCCGCCCTGCAAGGCGTGCCTGGGCAACCTCAGGCAGCCGAGCAGCCCGCGGAAGCAGTCGTGGTGCAGTTGGCTGCTCAAGAGCCTCTTGGGGTGGTACCCAGCGGGTCGGCGGTGTGTCCCGACGACGCCACCTTGCAGCCAGCCAAGCCTGCCGACGAGGATCTTGCCGCCCTACCTGCATGTACCGAGCCGGCTTTGGAGAGGCCGCTGATAGTGCCGCCGCTTCCACTAGCGCAACACGCAGACACGGGAGCCGGAGATTGGGTGTCGGCGCCTGAGATTACGCCCGTAAAGGAGGAAGCCGTCGTTGGTAAGTCCCCTTGGGCCTCCCTTTCTCATCATGACTTTTCATCATGACAGCGGGACTGCAACCTTTGAGACGTCTTTTTACCTTAGACCGTCAGCATTTAGACGCTTTCCTGCCATGTGCAGGTGCAGGGCCTTTCCAGCTGCGTTCGCACTTTCCATTGCCAAGCCTGGCTGACATCCCGGAGCACCCTTCGCCCGATGCCGCGTCAGCCGCCGTGGCGCCGTTGTCTCCCGCCATGTCAGCCCGCACAGCCATATCCATTCCAACCTGCGGCGCTGATCGTGTCTCCAGCATCGGGACACCGTGCCTCACGCCGGTGGCGGCGGCGGCTCCTCGTGCTGGGAGATTCAACATCAACGACATGTCAACAGCGGATGATGGCGACGTGCAGCGGAACACACGTAACACTCGTAGTGGCGAGGGGGGCAGCGCGCGCGGCAGCGGTGGGGCACACAAGGCTGGCGTGAGCAGCAACCCCGCGTATACGCTGCTAAGCCAAGTCTGTGAGCGCCAGCCGAAGACCGTGGCTATCCGCCGCATGTATCAGTTCGCGGTGGAGGTGTGGCCTGCGCCCAACAGCACCGTGTTCAGGCGGACCAAGGTAAGCGTGATTGCTGGGGACGGGTTCACTGCTGCTGCTGCACTGTCAAGGGAGCCTTTCACCTTGCTCGACATCTGCATGTCTATGCCACTGCCAACAGCCCCGCTTTACCCATCTCCATGCCGGTAGATTATCACGATCAAGAACAAGTACCTGATCCTTAACGCAACGGGCCTGACCATCGAGTACAAGCAGAAGGGCACGCCCGATCCGTTTGACATGGCCGGTCGGCAAGAGTACGGCAAGGGGCGGCGCTTTTCGGGGGTACTGGCGCACAACTGGCGCGCTGCTTGGCACTGGGACAATGCCTACGCCGAGCAGGAACTTATGATTCGTCCGGCGGGTGATGACTGGGAGTGGTCGGGTAAGCTGGGCAATGGTTTGGGCGAAGGGCAAAGCTATCGTACGCTGTGGTACGGTGTGAAAGACACACCTTGGTGCAGCTATCTTCGCATCGGTAACTTTTCCTTGCCGGTAAACCCGGCCTTGTAGGCAGTTTCAAGCTGCCGGAGAACGAGGACTACTTCGGTCTTCGCATCCGCCACCGCCACACCCGGGAGTATGTTATTATTCCGGTCAACATTACCGTGGGAGCTGCAGGCTCTGTGCTGGTCACCTTGAAGAGCAAGGAGTAAGTCAGTTGCGTTGGGGCCATTGGTCCTTAGGAAACAGCCCGCTGGCCGAATAGCGTCTTAGGCCACACGCTTCATAGTCGCCGCCTGCAGTAAAGTCTTCAAACTTCTTGTTCACAGGTCCGTGCCGCCGTACATGATTATTAACCGCTGCCGTGACGTCGTCATCCGTCTGAAGCAAGCGGAGTGGGCCGGTCGCTCGTCTACTGGTCGCTTGATTTCATCGGACACCCCTTGGGACGACTGGGACGAGATTGTGCCCAACGCCAACGCGCCCATGCCTTTCACGTGGGACGAGCCGCGGCTGAAGCACACGGTCAGGGTGGTTGCTACCGCCCAGCGAGACGCGGCTCCCAAGAACGCTAACCCCATCGATGTCAACCTGGACGCTGTGGACGCCAACACCATCATCTACGTGCAGTCCCGCGCCATGCACCCGCACTTCCTGCCGCTGGCGGCGCGGACGGACCAGCGCGAGCGGATGAAGTACCTGTCTGAGAACGCCAAGAAGGTGCGTCAGGTCCTGAAGCATGTGTACATGTGAACATGTCCTTCAAAGTGGGACACGCATTCACTATTGTATAAGTTTCGTATCACTGTCGCCGCTTTCGTTGTTAAAAGCATTACCGGTAATCTTCGTTTCCTATGCCTGCGCAGGTGTACATAACGGTGTACGCAGATGGTCCCACGCGCGTGCTGTGCTTCTCTGAGGACCGCACCGGGATGGCCAACATGGATGACGAGAACAGCCTCATAAACCTGTCCTACCGGCTGCAACAGGTGCGCCACGCGGCCGGCATGGCTCTCTACACATTGAGGGGGCTCCCTGAACTTGCATGCAGTGCTAGTACCGGGTAACCTCAGGGTGCCCTTCAATGGCATGGCGTGGCGGGACCTCCGGTTGGTTGCTTCACCTTCATCTGCTGTGACCGGCCTGCGCTGCTTGCCTTGCAGGTGGCCACGCGGCTCAAGGAGATTGAGCACCGGCTCGTCTTGCAGCTAGGCAACGCGCAGGAGCAAGCCCGTGGAGTATTGGCACCCGTGGGCAGCGTCAGCCAGGCGGCAGCGACCGCATCGGCGGTGCCTGCGGCATCACCGGATACGGAGCGGCACCCGGCCTCTATCTCCCACGGGAATGCCACCGGCACGGGGTCTGTGTCCACGATGTTGGGGCCCAGCTCATTTGCGGTGGGCTCAAGCACCGCGCGGCGTCCTGCGGGCAGTGCCTGGTCAGTGGTGCGGGGAGCCCTCCTGGGGTCCACCGGTGGTGTCATGACTCCACCGTCGCTGCGCCAAGGCCTGCCAGCTTCCCTCACGGGCTTGGGCGGTGCTAACATCCAGCGGAATGCGTCCATCAGCCGGAATGCCAGCACCGGGACGTGCGCTCCCGCGCACGGTGCAAGCCGGATGCAGTCCCTCCAAAGTGCCCTTCCTGGCCGGCCCCACCACACCCGCAGCATGTCCGGTCAGGGCCACGGGGTGAACCAGACCCCGTCCCTGCCACCTGGCCCTGCCGTCTCGGGCCTGCCGCAGCTACTTGCGGCGGCACCCGTTGGTGCGGCAGGAGGCACCCTGTCGCAGCTGCTGGAGCAGCTGCCCGCGTACGGGAATGACGTGGACGTGCCCTACGGTGGCGACCTCGCCGTGGTCCTGCGCTACGTGGAGGGCCTGACGACGGAATTCAGGAGCAACGAGAAGCTGCTGGCGGTGGAGGCCAAGGTACGTGGCGGCGCTGCGTACCGTGCGTCATTGTTGTCACGGCGACGCATCAGTCGAGTTACCTGTTTGTGAAGTTATGCAGTGCCGCACAACGCTGCACTACACTCTTGACCTGCGTGCTGTTGCTGTGTTGCTTCGCAGATGGTGGTCCACTCCAGCGACCCAAGCTTGAAGGACAGGCAGGATCACGTGCAGGCCACCGCAAGTTGGATCCAGATTGCCGATCCTTATGCTGGTGGGGGCTGGCTGGGTGGGGCAGCTGGAAGCACCGGAGGAGGCGCCGCAAGCCGCGTTGACTTGCGCGCGTACGAGGAGACCTTCCGCGACATCCCCGCCTCAGCAGAGTTGCAGATTGACTTCTCCATCGCAAAGGGCACGTACCAAACGCACGTTGGCGGCACCTTTGGCTCGCAGGCGCATGCCCACTACACAGCGATGCCCCTGCAGGGAACTACCAGCGGTAGCCATGCTGCTGCAGGCATGACCCCTAGGCCAGCATCTACGAGCACGGGCGCACAGGTGGCCATCAGCAGTGGGCAGTTTGCGGGATGTGTGCGGGTGCCACTGCTGCTGACCTTGGGTCGCGAGAAGCACCAGGAGTGGCGGCTGCCGCTGGAACGCAAGTCAGGCTCTCAGCGCATCCGTGGCTATGTGGTGGTGTCCTTTGAGTGGAGCTTCACCAACGAGGGCTTGCTCATCCGTGAGGTGGCAGCACTCGAGCGCATCATGGCGGAGAAGATCGAGCTGCTGGCGCTGCTCAACCCGCTGCCAGCTACAGCCACCACCGCCTTCGTCCGCCCACCCGGTAGCAGCGGCAGCAGCAGCCCCGCTGAGGCCGCCGTTGCCGCTAACGGCAGCAGCGGCAGCGTCGCCAGCATCACGGAGGAAGCCGGCGGCTTTGGTGGTGAGGGCAGGTCGCTGAATCTTGGCGCCGAGGGTGCCACCACGGCACTACCCCGTGCGCTGCCTGCCAAGCGGACGGCCAAGGCCATGTCGGAGTCGTACTACGTGAACCTGGAGGTGTCGGTGCTGGAGGTGACGGGGCTGCTGCCGCGGGAGGGTGTGCGCGCCAACATCGCAGCATCACTGCATGGGCGGCAGCAGGCTGGCATGGTTGCGACTGCTATGCTGCCCCGTGCGGTCGTGTCCATGACGTGTGCTGGCGAGAAGCGGACAGCGCCGGCGGGTGTGAACTCGGTGCACCCGCGCTTCCCCAAGAACACAAACACGTTCCAAAACGTGCCGCTGGGCTCAAAGGTGCACATGCAGGTAGGTAAATGCTGCGTCCAGGCGTGGTGGGATTCGGCAGCACGAGGGGGTTATGCGACAGGGGCACACTGATAAGCTTCCCAGAGGATGTATCTAAGAACCTTGTCTCCCACCTGCAGCTAAAAAGTAGTTCCCGTATTGTTGGCGCTGCAGGTGTTGGACCAAGTGAGCAGCTCCTACACGCGGCTCCTTGCTGAAGCCGAGATGCACGTCTCCGACATCCCCGGCACAGACCCGCTGTATGCGTGGCTCTCGCTGCCGCGCCGCAAGCGCAACCGGTCGCAGCGCTCGCTGGCGCTGCTGGCGACCATGGAGGAGGAGGGGGAAGCCGAGGTGCAGGTGCTGGTGCGGATCAAGATCCACAAGCCGCAGGTGCGTGTTGAGGTGCACGTGGTGTTGTGACGTCGGTCTTTAAACCGCAACTGCACCTACGTACGTAAAGCAATGTATACCGTTTGCAAAGTCAGCTTAAAAGCCGACTCTCTCCAGTGCTCATCGCCCTCTCCCCGGCCGTGGCTCCTTCCTTGTATAGGTGCATGGCGTGCTGGCTGCGGTGACCTTGGATATGGCGGGTGTGGGGCTGTGCGCCAAGACCAACTTGGAGGAGCTGTTCAACTTCACCATCCAGAAGGTACGGCCGGGCATGCGTCATGCCGGTCACACGGAGGCCCCCGGTGGAGTGACGAATGTCGCATTGAAGGGGATTCACAGGTCTACGCCGCTTGTCTGCCTTGAAGGGAGAGTACATGCTTTGTCGGCTGTCACATGGCACATGCATCAGTCCTTTACCAAAGCACGATGTCGTTTCTTCAGGTTGTCACATTTTTCACGCGTCCCACATACCATGCAGGTGCGCGCATCTCTTGTGCAGACGCGCACGGATCTGCAGGTTACGTCTGCCGTACATGCAATCCAGCTGGACAACCAGATGCTCGAGGCCAAGAATCCGGTGGTCCTGGCGCCAGCTGACGGCTCACAGTCGAGCAGGTGGGTGAGCAGCTCTGATGGCAGCTCGTGTGCTGCGGCCTCTTGGCACCACACCTGCAGCTATGGTAGGGTTGTGCCTAAAAGACGTGTTAACACCTACACCCTCCTTTACCCCGCAGTGTAGCACACGCCCGCCGGCGGCACAAGGCTCGTCTTGCTCGCCGCGCCGAGGGCCCCAACCCCATCCTGCGCTTGGGGCACCAGGACCCCTCCGTGCAAGACCCGCTCATCACCTTCCAGGTGGGCACCATGTACCGTTGGAAAGCTAACGCGATAACAATTTCGGGTATAGCTTGTGTTCGACCTTTCTTACCGCGCCTTGCCTTGGCTACTTTCTGTCGCCTCCGCAGATTACGTACAACCAGGCAAGCAGCAACCAGGCAAACGACGTGAACGCCTATGGCTCGCATGACAACGTGGGCATTCTGGCGTTCAAGAAGGTGGTGCTGGAGCTGGGGCCGCTGGACTTCTCCGCTGACCAGGTGGGTGGTGGCATGCAGCTGTACGGCGAGTAGGGTTGACCGCCTAAGCGAACATGTCTATTCCACTACACTCTTGCAAGTGGGCTGGCATTTGCTATGTGTGAGTTGTCACTGACCAGATAGTTTTGCCGCCTCAATGTGATGCAGGAGTTCATCGAGGGGGTCATTGCCTACCTGCATGCCATGCCCCTGGCGGACTTGTACCAGAACGAGGCTTGGCAGAAGCAAATCGACGCGATGCAGGTACGTGTGCATGGTTGAACGACGGCCGGACTGAGGCCAGCACCCACAAGCGCATCGTGCCTGCATGGGCACATGCATGTGGTAGGCGTTTCCACTGCTCAGCAGTTCATTGGTCATGCACTCGTGCTCCGTCCTCACCCCCGTCCTTGTCCAACAGGGTGGCGGTACGGCAGGACATGCCGAGGAGGCGGTGCACGTTTCGGGGCAACGTGACAAGCCGCAGGAGGACGCGCTTGTGTGGCTCCTGAAGAAGGAGGCCTCGGAGCTGGAACTGTTGCGTGGCCAGAGCTCCATGTGGTTCTACCTGGAGGTGTGCAGTGGGGGCGGTGTGATGCTGCTTGCGTGGGCCTTGAGAGCTGTGCTGCTGTACTTGTGGACTGTGCTTGCCGCGTCAGGCTTCAAACGTTAGCACCGGTATTGCGTTTTCAATTTGGTTCCCCTTTCAATGAAATCTGGAGAGGCATGCAAGGGTTTTGCAGGACACAGGCATACCGAAAGGGCTTTGCTTGACGACAGCCTCTCTCTCTATCTCTCCCCTTCCATGAGCAGGAGTTCTACCTCTCGGACATATTCATTAACGTGACGCTGGCGCTGTCAAGCAGCTTTAACGCGGGAGTTGGCGGCGCGCCCTCCACCACATCCGCAGCCGGCTCGGTAAGGCGCTGCTTTGCCACCCCAGCTGGTATGGTATACGGCATTCACATCGGTGCAGCGTAGCCTCTGCGTGTCGCTCTGCACACTCCGCTCTAACATCCACGGTGCATGTCTATCGGATATATGACCTTGCCCTGGTTGTTTTGCCACTCCAGGAGAGCGAGCGGCAGCGCACGATGCTTCGCGGCTTCCTGTCGCGCGTGTCGGGCAACAATGGCTTCCAGCTCATCAACGTCACCAACGCGCCCATCCAGCTGGAGTACGTGTCCTTCCAGAACCGCCTGTACAACCGCGTCTCGCTGGTCAACACGCTGTGGCGCCACTACTCGTGGATTGCCATAGCGCAAGCACGCAAGGTGCTGGGAGGTGCAGGTCCCGCCATCGCCGCCATCCCCGCCTCACTGCTCTGGGCAAGCTTGGCGCTGGTGGATTTGGGCCAGGATGTGGCAGCGAAGCGCGTCAGGCCGCACCAGGTGCCCATGCGCATCGGCTACGTGCTCTTCACGCTTTCGGGCCAGGTACGTGTAGGTGCGATTGCCCCTGGGCTGGCGACGGAAGGTGGTGTGGCCAGCATCTACCTCGGGCCCCATGGCCGTCCGCAAGGCCAATCTTTGCCAGCTTTTGTGTCGCTGCTGCACTGTCCGGCATGTCACCTTGATGCCCTGTGAGTACCGGCACCATCTCTACATGCATTTTTTCCCCGCCACTGCGCTTGCAACTCCAGGTGGTGGGCGTGCTCAGCCGCACCATGTGCGCCGTGATGGGCGTGCTGCCGCCTCGCTTCTCCTCCGACAGCATGACCCTCACCGACTCCGAGGCTGCGAGGCGCTTCGCCGTGAAGCCGCAGACGGTCATGGATGCGCTGTACCTGGGGCAGCGTGACGTGGTGCTGGGCGCCCTGTCGGGGGCGTTTGGCTTCGTGCATGATACCGCGGCAGGTGCGTGAAACGCAAGGGAGCAGTCATCGGCTGCTAGGCTCCTTGATCGCCCTACGTCAGGCTGAAGGGCTGTACGAAGGCAGATATGCTTGCATGCTGTTTCGCTGGATATCGTTCAGCTGCATGCGTGCTGACATATCGCGCCTGACTGTCCGCAGGTTTGCGCTGGCCCAATGGGCTGGGCGCGGTGGGCCTGCCGGTGGGTCTGGCGAAGGCCAGCCTGGGTGTGGCCATGCGGCCCGCCGCGGGCACCGTGGAGGCCTTCAGCAAGGTGCTGCAGGGGGTGGGCCTGCTGTGCCTGGGCAAGCGGGGCATCCAGGGCAAGTTGGCCCGCAGGTAAGCGTGTGGGGGTGCTAGAGGGTGAGAGACATCGCTTGCAGTGAGCAAAGGTGTATACATCCTATTCGAGGAATTTTGCGCATTCACGGCCCGTCATACATTGCTGTTATGAGTCTCAGCTTTTGGTAACCCAACCCTGTCCTCTCGCCCCACAGGGTGCAGGCGCCAGGTCTGGCCATCACGGATGTGGTGCAGGCGGCCCGGGCCAACGCGGTCCAGGAGGCCTACCAGGCATCGTTGATTGCCGCATGGCAGGTATGTTACCATAGTGCCGTGGCCTGGAGAAAGATGGTCCTTTCAGTATGTTGTATCTGCCTGCTGCATGCTTCCAAGCATCGTCTCATTGTGTTTCCAACCTTCCAACCCGCAGAATGCACTTCCCAACATTTCTTCGTCTCTGGCGGGTGATGAAGTGGTGGACGTGGTTGCGGCGCGCCCCACCCGCGTGGTGCTGCTGACCAGCCGCCACCTCGCCTACATCGTCGCAAAGCGACATTCCTCCTCATCCTCGTCCTCGTCTACGGCTGCTTCCAGCGGACACGGCGGCGGTGGCGCCTTCACCGTTTCGTACCGCGTCAAGTGGATCATCCGCAACGACCACATCGACAACATCCGTGGTCTTGAGCGCAACTACGCGGTCAGTGTGGAGTACCACAAGCCTGTCAACCTGGGCCGCATGTCTCTGAAGCTGCCGCTGCGGAAGGGCATGCGGACCTCCACCGCGGAGGGGCACAAGAACCTCATCTTCCGCCTCAACCGCCACATCGGACACGCCACCTCCGGTGCCTCCCGCGACTTTGGCAGCTTGGCGGCGGCCGCGTCAGGCGGCGGCGCTGCCTCTGCTGGCGTGGAAGTTCAGGAGCTGCGCATCACGATGCCGCATGCAGGCCATGCCAGCTCCGCCGGTGTGGGCGGCGGTGTGGCGGGTTCGCAGGGTGTACCGCTGGGGATGGTGTCCAGCGGTAGCTTGGGTGGTGGTGCTGGGGCTTGCGTGGACAGCGCCCCTGGGAGTGCGGAAGCGCTCCACATGGCTGCGACCTCGCGCCCGGGCAGGACGCAGGCCATGAACTCTAGTTAGTGGGCATGGCATGGGGGTCGGCTAGGTGATAGCTCGTACAGGTGCCTGCTACAGGTGTCAGCAGTAGGTGTACGCGCTCGTACATGTGGTAGCGGTACATATACCCTAGGTGACATAGCTAGTATGTTGCGTTCCATAGACTACCCTGCTCGTCGTCGTCGGCACCGTCGTCGGGATGGGCCTTTAGCACTACAGTAGGCACGCTTAGGATAGGACTTACAAGTGATATGTTGCATTCGTATGCAATGCGTCTGATGTTTCCACATTGTGTACTGCTTGAGAAATTTTGCCTTGGACGACCAAACCCTCTTCAGTATATGTGACGCTTCACGTTCGTTGACACCGAAGTACAAGGTATCGGGGGAATGGGAGTTATGTTTTCTTGAGTGGAGCTGCCTTGGGGCTCGTCATAGCCCACTCCGCTGCAGCATCAGCTTCGACCGATGATGTGCTGCGCCTGTAGATGCACTACAGATCATAACGAATGTTCGGATTGGTTGCAATGAATTTACCGTGACTACATGTGGACATTGGTTCCCCGAGGAGGGCGGATCGCAACACATCCATACCTTTATTCATGGGGCTGATGGCCCCGGCGCAGGCTAAGCGTTGCATGTCTTGTCTTGTCGGAATACCGTAAACCCCATTTCTTGTCATATGCATATATTTATGTTCATGGGTGTCTTGGAGACGAGCGGTGCAGCTGGTCTCGCATCATGTAGCCATTAGCCAAGGTTGGCCAGGACTGTGCTCTCCACAATGTAATGTTGGGAGTGTGACTCTTACAGTGTACAAGCCCCGCGGACTGCTGCCCCACGGGTCAGTTTAAGCAACACCTGCATGTGCCTCCAATTGAGCAGGTCCCGCTCAAGGAAATTAGGCAGAGAAAGGCAGAGCCCATTTCTTAAATCAGGGATTGCAACTCAACATGCAGCGGCAACGCATCAGCAATCCCTCCTGAGCAGCTGGCTTTACCCATCACCACGAATTCTAACCAACAGCATCACCGTCTTCGTCAAGGTCACTCAGCTGAGTCTCCGGCACATGATAAATTTGACTGCTCCTCCCCTCCACCCACTTGTCGCACTCATCAGCTCCCGGACGATAGCCGCCGCATCCGCTTGCTTGCACCCCCAAAGGCCCGGACGCCCCCGCTTGCGCCCTTGCCGCACCCGAGTCCGCCGGATCCGGCGCCCCTACTGCTTGCCAGGCTGGTCTGCTAGCTGGAGCAGCCAGGATGCCCCTCCAAGTGGGACCGCAGGGTGGGGTGACGACGGGCTCCCTTGGCGGGGCGGCAGCAGCAGTGTTGGTGCTGTCGACCTGCATGTTGAAGGCCACATGTTAGCCATCCCATCTACCCATGGTCAGGAGTCACAAAGGCACCCAATGCAGGCTTACCTCCATGTAAGCGCCGCTTTGTCGCAGGTCTGGTCCGCGCGTGGGTTGCCCAGCCGGGGCACGCAGAACGCCCGCGTCTCCCCTGCCTGCTTCCCTTGCCGCCCCGCCTTCGGCCCCAGCCCCCGCCGTACTCTGGTCCTGGCCCTGCATGCCATCCTTGGCTAGCTGCAGTACGTGGCCACCACCGCTACCTGGGGCATGCAATCCTTGCAACCCACTATGGGGCCGCCTAAATTGCGATGCGGCGGAAGCGACCACCGCCGCATCCTCCACAACTGCCGCGCTATCCGCCGGTGCAAGCGCATCCCCTGCTGAAGCAGCCAGCAGCGCACCCAGAGTGCCTGCCCCCCTGCCGTGGGCTGGCGGCGTTAACGATGCGCCCCTGTGTGCGGCACACACACCCGCAGCAGCTCCTCCGCCAGCAGCCACCTGTGTCTGCTGCGATGTCCCGGCACCCCCAACCCGAGCATCCGGAGCAACACCAGCCGGCTGCGAGGCCCGCCGGTCGCCTCCTGCCGCAACCGTCGTCGGCGTGCCCGCAGCCACTGTCGGCGCCGCCGCGCGCTGAGCTGCGAGCCTCTCCCGCAGCTGCGCCGAGTAGGTGTTGCGCGGCTCCACCACGAGCCCCTGCGCCCGAGTGCTGCTGCTGCTGCTGCCGCTGTCCTGCAGCAGCAGCCGGGCCCGCAGCGGCCAGCTCCGACCCGCGCCGGCAGCTGCATCCGCACTGCCCGGGGTGCTGGCGGCGGTGTTGGCGGCCCCTGCCCAGTCTACGAATACGGCGCCGTACACACCCGCGAGGGTCCGCCGGGAAAGGTCGGCCAAGAGGGCCTTACGCAGGTCCGGAGAACTGCGGAGGGCAATGGGTGTGAGCGGCATGGGGCGGCACTAGGTTAGGGCAATCACAGGTCGCTTGCTGCAGCGCATGACTTGTAGCAGCGTGGGAAAGTGATGGAAGTAATCATCGGAGGACGGCCAATCACTTACCCAATCACGTACAATATTACAGCTCTAGCCATGTTCATGGAGGGGTCCCGCAGCGTGATGTGCAGCACTGTGGTGCCCCGGGCGGCCTCCACCTGCTTCGCCTCCACCACCTCTCCCACCAGCGGAGGCAGCTCCAGCGGCAGCGCCTGAGAACCCGCCCCAGCCGCCGCCCCGCCGTCCCGCGCTTGCCGCCTGCCTCCGTCTCCGCCTGCTGCAGTACACGCCGTCTGCGACTGCGCAGCAGCATCAGCAGCTGCCTGCTGCTGCTGTTGTGACAAGCGGTTGGCATGCCAGGCGGGTAGTTCCCGGAAGGGGATGCAGCCTGAGAGCCGAGCGCGGTGGTCGTCCAGCCGGGGCAGCCAGCCGGTGCTCACGTAGTGCGCTTTGGGCCGGTTGCGAGCGCTGCCGACACCGCCCGGAGCAGCCGCACGTGCCGCACCACCACCGCTGCCACGAGCTGCCGCATCTCCGACCCCCTCCTGGGTTGACGGCGGGGAGGTGGCGCCAGCCGGCGGGCGCCGCGGAGCCCTTCCAGGCTGCTCGTCGCTTACCTCCACCGCACCACTGCCGGTGCGGGTGCCAGCTGCGGGGCTTGCGCCTAGCGGTTGCTGAGCCCGGGCGGCTGAGGGCGGCTGCTGGCGGAGCTGTGTGGGGCGCTGGGAGGTGCGTGAGGGAGCCGGCGCATCACCCCCGGCGGGTGCAGCAGCACCCGCCGCCCCAGCCGCGCCGCCTGCTGCTGGCGGCAGCTGGGAAGTTCGTGGGTGCTGCTGCTGGGGTTGCTGTAGAGGCTGACCCCGTGGTTGCTGCGGCGGCGGGGGGAGTGAGCGCTCACGCACTGGATGCCGTCCCTCCACTGCAGGCGGCGTCAGGCCCAACCTGCGTTGCCCTTCACGCACCAGCCGTTGCAGGGCGGCCTCCTGACTTGCCGTCATGCTCACCCCACACGCCGACCTCCTGGCGACCAGCCGCAAGATGCACTCCAGCACGGGTCGAGCCCACGTTAGACCTGCAGATCCATGGGTCAGAACCACGAGTGGTTGCGACGGCCTGGAAACTCTTTCATACCGTAATAATAGCTGGCGGCAAAGCAAGCGGTATTCATCCAGCTAAGCTTCCGCGCAATACTCAACCCTCAACCGCCGCTTCTCACCCTCCGCGCCGCATCCCTCCACAAGCCGAGCAATGCTTCCAAGCGCAGCCCCCGACAACTTCACAGCGCCGTCCGCGCCATCCGCCACCGCCGCCGCAGCCGCCAGCTTCTTCACATCCGCCCCACACGCCTGCCGTACACGTGCGGGTCGCTCCGCCTCCGCTAGCGCTGGCGGAATGCCAAAGCTCGACGCCAGACGCGCCCTGACCCTCTGCGAGTGCTCCTCAGGTGGTGGCCGCGCTGTCTGCAGCAGCTCCCGCTGCAGGGAGGGCTGCAGCGGCAGCAGCGCACACTCCAGAGAGGTCCGCAGCAGCAACCCCGCTGCGAAGCCGGCGGCGGCTCGCAGCTGGTCCCTGGGCGCGGGCTCCATGCGCGATAGCGGACTAGACCTGCGCAAGAGGAAGGGAACCAGGGATGTCGGGAAGAGGAGGGGGAAGCGTCAGCATGACCTGCTATAGAAAGGAGGGCCTCCGCCCTGCCGCCTGCGCTTTTCCAGGCCTGGCAGGCTTGCAAACACATGCAGTTCGGACCCAATCCGGTCTCCCAATCCCAGCAACATGGCACCGCCCCCCCCCAACGCAGCGCGCTCACTCAATCCTCACGGAGCCCCAAGCCGTCCGCGCCGCCTCCTCCCTTGCCGCCAGCAGCCCCCAGCGAGCCGCCGCCGCCAGCACCGCATCAGCGGTGTGCAGCAGCTCACGAAGCAGTGCCAGGGGCGGAGGGTGCTGCTGCTGCTGCGGGGGCCGCTGCGGCTGGGCGGGCTGGGCTTCCCCTCCGCCGCTGCTAGAGGCAGCCGGGCTCTCAGCGTCGTACCCCAGCAATGCTCGGGAGAGCAGCAATGCCCGAGCTGCCACCAGGCTCTCGACAACCAGATTGAGAAGGGGAGGCAGCA